ACTCTGTTTTGATCACTTTAAACATTTTTGTCAAGTAATAACTAAATCTAGAAGTACTCTTTAAGAAGTTCAATAAAAAAATAATAAATGTTTTAATAATCACTCACATCGTATTTGCAAAAATGAAAAGGACAATTACATAAAAATATATTCGTTATTTACTCATTAAATAAATTCATATGCAATTTTAAAGGTGTTAAGTTTTGTCAAGAATAAATTCATATAAAATTTTAAAAGTGTTAAGTTTTGTCAATTAATCTTAACAAAACTTAACGTCTAAAATTAACTTTGTTAATCAAAATAATTTGCAATAGATAAAAAATTTGTGTTAAAGTATAAAGATGATAAAATATTTTTAATATTCTAATAAAGACACGTTTATGCGTATCAAGACATCTTTAATCACTATTACAATCATATTAGCATTGGTAATCACTAACAAATGGAATCCGATGAGTTCTTCATGAAGATTTAATTCATTCACTTATTATATGAATAAAATAAATTGCTCGATATTCGAGGCATCAGATGATTTGTCAAACATAGTTGCGTAGAACTCTACACTACCAATTTCTTGAAATATTTTAAGATTTTTATTTCCATTACTTTATTCTCTTCTTGCAAGTCTTCACTTCTATAGTTATTCCCTCTAAACTTTATCTACTCCAACAAGAACAGGTTGTTCTTTCCTCATAAATGATAAAGCTGATTAGATTTATAATTCGGCTCTTTCTTACTGTCGCCACACATCGGTGTTGCTTGTCTTGCCAGAAATCGATAGCTCGATAAAAGTTTTTAATAATTAGCGATTAACCGTTTCCTCATCTTCGTTTTTTTGTTTAACACCTCTCCAATACCTTCTGCTATCGCAGATATGGTGATTATACATGTTATTGCGTGTTTATGAAAATTTGCGGTGATACATGCGTGGCAAAATGCACGGCTGCTGGTATTGTTGTAATATATTTAGTAGAGCCAGATTTCCAAGTATGTTCTACTAGCAACTTTAAAACTGCCAAATTTATGATCAGGAAAACAAAATTAATTTTATTGATTTGGAATATCACCAATTTCTAGAATGCCTCTAAACTTTATTTTCGCCTTGATAAAAAATAGAACTCAAGTCATACGATCTCCTTACTTATTTTAATCTTTCAACAACCAACGGAGTGGTTGTTGAAAGATTAGAATAAGTAAGGAGGTGTGTGTAGTTTTTTTAAATATAATACAATTTTTTTGTTTATTTTTATTTTGTACATTTACAGTAGAAAAATATTTTTATTTTGTGCGATATAGTTTTTTAGGAAATATTTATCTTAAAGGTAAAAACGTCCTGCGGCACAGTTCGGCGTACCCGTAGTAGTTCTACCGCCAATTATAATAGTTTAATTGTTTTAGTTTTTAATAGAAAATTTTATTTACTACACGAATCATTTAACGTGTAAATATGTAACACGTCATTTTACAGCGATTCTCGACGACAAAACCTTACGGCTTTCTACGAGTCTCCGCGTTCTTTTTTTTATATATATTAAAATACCTCACTTGTAATTGTTTATATTATTATATTTTAGCTTTCAAATTTTATGAAGTATTAACAAAATATTTGAAAATATAGTAAAAAAAAAAAGAACTTTATTGCATGAAAAATGCCGCGTTTATATATATATATATATATATATATATATATATATATATATATATATATATATATATATATATGTAAATAAAATATCTATAATAAAAATTTTGATTTCACAATGTCTAAACCTATATTAACATGGGATATGATAATACAGAATCGGGCGATCACTTTACACAGTGATTGGAAATGGTATTAGCTATAAAAAATCCAATATAAAAAGTTCTGATTATGCAAAGAAACTTGCAAATTGACCACACTTTCAGATTTTGGAACAATTTTTTAATCAGACTACCAGCTGCTTTAATGTCAAAATATGTAAGACGGTTGAAATATCTTACTTATTGAGATATCTGAGAAGTCTTTTACACATCAATGTCAAATATTTTCCAATATATTATATAAATATATAAAATATACGATATAAATACATATGTATAATCTTGTGTAAAGTATTTAAGATGAATAATGACCAAAATTAATGATTATTTTTAAACCATTTAAAAGTAATATCTTCTATGTTCACAACTCTGATTAAACATTCAAAAATATGAATGGTTTAACAAATTTCTTCGATTGTTGGTTTCGTAATCGTTTCATCAGTATTTTTATTTATCATCATCTTCTTAGTCTCTTTTCACTTCTTTCTCAATTTCCTCAACTTCTTGCATTTCAATAAACAAAAAACAAGAAATACGCTACAAACAGGAAGTTACATTTGACAATTGGGATAGAAATGTTTGTTATTGATTTTAAAGGCTCAATGTTCAGATGAGCGGTGCAATTTGAGTTAAAAGTATATTTTAGTCTACTTTTTTATTGTTTATATAAATGTTTACGTTTATAGAAGTTTATTCCTACTTATTTTATTTATTGTTTTTATACTTTCTATTTTTTAATTTATATGTTGGTTTACTCTTGTACAAAATTCTGATGAGAAGATTTTTTTGATCTTTCTTCAAACACAGATTATTTACCTTGTAATTTTGTAAAAGTTTATTAATTTTTTTTTAATCTTATTTTTGTTAAATGCTTATTTAAGGTTCTGACGACAAGATCTTTGCGATATTCTTTCAGATATCTTGTTTATATTTGTTATATTTTCTATCATTGTAAGTTTATATTATTATTTTTATTATTGGTTATATAAAGCTGTACAACTACTAACAAATGTAAACAAAACAAAAAAAATTATCAATGATTTATTTTAGTTGTCTGGTGTAAATTTTCTATCCTGTTTTCTGACTCACACTTTAAATAACTTAAAGTCCAACCATCTCTTATTTTATGCACAATAACGGCATGGAGTGCTTTTAATTACCTTACAATAACGAAGTATGTTTAATTTTCCAATAAGTTCAGCAAGTTCAGTCTACTGAATTTCAGCAACATGTTAGCTACAGCAAGCCCAGTTCATCGAATTCCCCAAACTTTGTAACCACTACCTTTTTAACCACACTGAATCTTATAACCTTTGTAACTACTCATTGACAGAGACGTATTTACGGGGGGGCCAGGGGGCTTTGGCCCCCGGGCGCCATGTTTTGACAGGGCGCCAGCTTTCAGAATGTTAGAATTTTAGAAAGTTGTAAAATAGTCTATTTATATCATTTCACGAAAATTTTTATATTATTATTATGTTCAAATCATAGACCTACTTATCGACTTACTAAATATCTCTAGTTGATTTTAGAAAAATTTAGTTAGCAGAAGAAAATATCAATCAAAAGGAGATCAAATTAAACTTGTAAATTATACATAATTATGCGCCAATTATTCATCTAAAAACGTTGATTTGATACTGAAAGTCACGTGTCTAAACAAATTATTTATTTATTATAAATATTTTAATGATACGGTATGTAGCGATAGCTTAACGGTTAAGCTCATCACACTGACGCTGGCGCTCTGAGGTCTACTCCTACGAGTGTTCTTATTTAATATACTATCTAATCTTGATATAAATAAAATTTATATTTTTTTTTGAATAAATGATTTATAATTTTTATTAATCAAATACTTGATCCTTATTTATTAATTAGTAAATAATATACTAGAAAAAAATAAATGGTGCGTTTTACCTAACATTTTCATTTTACTCTTAATTGACTTTATTAACAGAAATACTTAGGTATAGACACAGCTATTTACTTTTAAAAAATGAAATAATTCTTCAAAGATTCTCTTTACATTTTCTAAAAAAAAAAAACTCTTTAAAAATACTTTAAACTTTAAATAATCAGTTTGTTTTTTAATTTATTTTTATATAATTTGAAGTGATGAGCAGAATAAATTACGCATTAATTATATTAAATTAGCAATTTGACTTTGATCGCCTTTTTTGCTAACCATCTTGTATATACCACGTGTGCACAATATAATTTTGAATTTTTAAGATTGCTGTCAGTTTTTTTTATTGTTGGCCTAAGTATTTTGTTCTTCGGTATGTTGTCTGCTTAATCCCTTGTATTACAGTATACAGTCTTGAAAAAGGTAAATATTCGTATTTCGATTATTGTTTTTAGTTTTAGTATTAACATTATTGTTATCATATATATATGATAACAATATATATATAATACACACTTTTTAGGATTCTTATTTTAAAAAGCAATGATGATTCATAGTAAAAAGCTTAGTGGCGCAGAAAACCGAAAACGAACCCATGCAAAAAATGAAGCTCAAGCAAAAATACTTTTAAAGACTGCTAAGTTAGAAACATATTTTAGCTTTACAGATAAACAGCTTCACACATCGCCGGGTAAGTTTATTTAGCTAGAAAACCATACGTTTTATTAATTTTGCTTTCTAGCAAATATATATACATATAGGTACATATTGTTCTGTTATTTATTGTTTATACTTCATATTGTTATGTTATTTATTATTAAATGTAAATAATTTATATCTAAAATGTAGATATGTGTAGTAATCGTTATTTATGCTTTCAGTTGAAAATGTAAATAATACAAGCGATGAAAATGATCACAGCTTTATTGTTAATGAGAATAACCTATCAAATCCAGACGATTTAATATTAATATTATCAAGTAAGAGCTGTACTGAAACTAGTAAAACTCTATTGACTCCAGAATCCAAAGAACTAAATGAAACACCCTGTTTGTCCATGCATGAACATAACAAGCCCGAATGTTTATTGTAAAATCTTTATTTAAAATTTTATATAATTTATAAATAATATCTTTTGGTACATGCATGTTATACAAAATTTATTATATTTTTCTCATAACAGTCTTCCTAAACAAAGTATTGTTCCTGAGTAAGCTTTTTTTAATTTTTTTCAAAAAGAATTTACACTCAAATAATTGGTGGGGTAAGACGTACTCGTTTTCGATATATGTCAAAAAGTATATTTATATCTACTCTTGTTAATGGTGAAAAAATTAACCGAACATTTTTGATTTACTCAGAAAGTAAAGGATCAATATTTTGTGCTCCCTGCTATTTATTTGGTGGCACTACATCGTTTGCCACAGTTGGTTTTTCAGATTGGAAAAAAGGAGAAGAAAAAATCAAGCGTCATGAAAATTCACAACACCACAAATTGTGTGTAATGAATATGAAAGAAAGAAAAGAAGTATTAAATCGAGTTGATCAAAAGCTAAAGTATCAAGTAGAAACAGAAATAAATTATTGGAAAAATGTATTGACAAGAGTTGTAGCTGTTGTGAAATCCCTTTCTTCTCGTGGAATGTCTTTTAGAGGTGATGATGACCGTTTTGGATCTGTTCATAATGGGAACTTTATGATGAGCTTAGAGCTTATTGCTCAGTTTGATCCTTTTTTAGCACAACACATTGAGAAGTTTGGAAATAAAGGAAAAGGTTCAACATTATACCTATCATTTAATATATATGAGCAGTTCATAAGTATAATGGCAGATAATGTTATTCAACAAATGGTGAAAGAAATAAAGGAAGCTAAATACTTTTCCATCAGTATTGATTCTACTCCTGACATTAGCCATGTAGATCAACTGTCATTCATTTTTCGGTATGTTCAAAAGAATGGCTGTCCGGTAGAAAGATTTTTAGGGTTTTTACCTAATTCTGGCCATAAATCTGAAGAATTAGCAGATGCTGTATTTTTAGTTTTAGAATCGCATGGATTAGATATTAATAGTTGTCGTGGTCAAAGTTACAACAATGCGTCTAATATGTCTGGTAGATACACAGGACTTCAAGCTCGCATTAAAAAAGTTAATCCTTTAGCAACATTTGTACCATGCTCGGCACACTATTTAAATCTTGTTGGTGAGTGCACTGTGGACTGTTGTATTTATGCTTCTGAATTTTTTATTCTGCTTCAAAATATTTATAAATTTTTCAGTGCCTCTACTTATAGATGGGAAATACTTCAGAAGAATTTGATTAAAACAGAAAATGTATCTCTTAAAAAACTATCAGATACCAGATGGTCAGCAAGATCTGATGCAAGTATTAGTTTAAACAAAAATTGGATTGAAATAATTAATGCACTGTCTTTTATCATAGATGATAAAACAGAAAAATCTATTACAAGATCAGAAGCTAACGGGCTATATTTAAAACTGGATAGTCTCGAAACAGCTATAATGGCCACATTATGGGGCGATATACTAGAGAGATTCAACAAAACTAGCAAACAATTGCAGTCAGTTGAGATTGATTTAGAAACAGTTGTAAGTTTATACGAATCTTTAATTCGATATGTATTAGATTTAAGGAGTATGTTTGATATCTATGAAGAGAGAGCAATAAATAAGTCAGGACACAAAACATATCGAAAAATACGCAAAAGAAAAAGAAAACTAACTGCAGATGAAAAAAGAGAAGAAGAAACAAATTTTAAAATTTGAGACTCTTTAAGAATTAATACATATTATGCTACAATTGATAAACTTCATTCTGAACTAGAAAGAAGAAAATTGTGCTATGATGAAGCCAATAAAAAATTTAACTTTTTATTTCAAATAATAAAACTTTCGCCATCAGAAGTTTACAAAAAAGCAGAGGTACTTCAAAATGTATATAAAAATGATCTTTCGTCTTTATTTGCTAACGAGTGTATACAATTCAGAAGTTATTTAATGAGTTTAACTGAAAACTTAAGACCTAAAACTATAATAGATGTTTATAAAATGATCAGAACTGAAAAACTTCAAGAGCTGTTTCCTTATGTAGGTATAGCATTAAGAATATATCTATGCTGCCCAACGTCCAATTGTTCAGCCGAGAGATCATTTTCAGCATTAAAGAGGGTTAAATCTTATTTGAGGTCGCGAATGACAAGTGATCGTCTTAATAGGTTAGCAATTCTATCTATAGAATCTGTACTTACCATAGATATGAACTTTAATGACATTATAAATACATTTGCAAAACAAAACTCACATAGAAAATTATAATTTTCTATAGTGATTAATATAACTTAATATATGTTGGTATAGAAAATGTTTTTTTTTTTAATGATCACCCCATATCAAAGTTGACATTATTCTTAAAAAAGGGCGCTTAAAGGAACAGTGCCCCAGGGCGCCAAAAGTTCAAATACGTCTCTGCTCATTAAATTTTCACCAACAAATTCTTTAGAAAAATACAAAGCTTTGACATTGAAAATGGTTCCAGATTAGAGAACGCTTTTCATATCGGGATTTTTGTCACTTTTAAATTGTACAAAAACTTTTGTGCAATTTTATGTATGCGTACCTTTTTTCTAGACATGCTAAAAGAGTGTGTCCAAGACATTTTCACAGAGACTGCACATCAGCTTTGTCAAGAAAACTTTATATGGACATTTGGTTTTTTTAAAGCATCAATGTATTTATTGGGAATGAGTTTAAAATAAATGGTATAATCAAGCATTTTAACTATGTATTAAAAACTATGAAACCGTGGATTCAAATACTGTAAGCTGTAAATTGTACAATTAAAAAAAAAATTATAACATTTTTAAATTTACAAACGTTTGCATAATAATTTGCATAATACTATCTGTGGAATCTTTTATAAATATATAAACAATATTTTTACATTTATATTCTTTGTTGTTAAATGAAAAACTTATTTATTTTCCAATTTAAAAATATATACATAGTCCAAAAGTATAGTATGAATATAAATAAATATAATATAATTTTTTTTAAATAAAAAACCTGTTTACAATTGTATTATGTAAACCAGTGTATTGGTGTTTATACATTTGCAACTTACTTCTTGAAATAATAATTTTAATTAATTTAATTAAAATTAAGCAATTGTTCAAATGTTTATCTATAAAAAAAATTAGTGATAAGCTAAAGGTACAAGATTCTAACCTGATGCAGTAACTATTAATTGAGTGATTAAAAAAAGCAGAAAAATTTTACAACGTTTAGAATATCTCATGGTGAATATTTTCTATTTTATTCATTCGTGTTTTAAAAGAAACCTACGTTCGAATTATAGAATATATGTGTTCGAATTATGTATTTAAAACGGAGCTTTTCTTTTCAATTTTAAATTACTTTATTAAAAGGTTTATTGAAATATAACTAAAGAAGTTTTTTTTATTTGCTCTCCAATGACTTATTGCTGAACTTGATGAATGACTTACAGCTGAACTTATGTAGTTCGACTCCTCTGGATTCTCATGACAATATTTCAAGTCTACACATGATTATAAACCGTTAAACGGATTCTTTCTATACACTGAACTTTAATACTTTTATGTATGTATATCCAGTTAGAATGTATTTATTATTAAAAAAAAATTCTAAATAACGAATATCGTCTATTGTAAAACTTAAAACATTTGATATTGCAATTATAAAACTGATATTGAAATCAAAAACTATCTTATCAAAACTATTTTATCATAACTATCTTATCATAACTATCTATTTATCATAGCTATCTAAACTATCTTATCCCGGTTAATTTGTTGTGCTTTCTACCTGAGCACTGTTTACCTTGGAGAGTTTCACTTTCTAGGATGAAAAATATTCAGGTGGGTTCAGATTTTGGTGGCAATGCTTTGTAAGGAGACCGAATTTACCTGCATTATTCTTCAGTTTAAATCTAGCAAATACAGTTGGTAAAGTTGTTCCAGAGACTTCCTTGAAAGTATACCATGATTAAAAAATGATAATTCCTATAGTCTATCTGACATTATTTTTGCTTGAAAAAGTCAAAAATTAATGACAAATTTTAAAAGCATTAAATCTATTTTTTCGTTTTTCTTCCAAGTAGCCTAGGTAGTTGTGGTAAATTTGTTTGCCACATCTCTTTATTTGGTCTGCCCTTTTCTAGTTCCTTTAACGTGTTGTACTTTAGTTTCAATGTTCATTACGCTTTCTTTTTGCGTCTATTTTGTTCATGTCTGCTTCGAACAAATAAATTCAAAAAAGCATTAAGACTTTACAAGGCTCAAATAGTTTGAAGCATTTAAATCTCGGGATTTGAATTTACTATTGTAAAAAAACGAAATTTCCAAATGATCATTTGGAAATTTCGTTTTTAAACTCTTTCATATGAAAAAATTTCGTTTTTAAACTCTTTCATATGAAAGAGTTTAAAAACGATATTCAAAATGCACGATGAAAAATGCATCATTGTGGCCCAAGAATTTAGTTGTTCTACTTGATTTTTCAAATTGTATGAGTTTGAGTTAAAGAAGTTTCCTTGTACGTTTTTTACTATAGTAAAATATCACTTCAATAAAAAAAAGTTTTCAATTTAAATGCTCTTTAGAATTATTTTCAGGGATTCGATTTAAATGATCTTTTGAATTATTGTCACAGAATATTGTGGTATTGTCCATAAAGTACGTGCGTAACGAAGAAAAAACTCGAAGAAAAGAATAATTTACGAGATTTATAATCATTATAATTTTTTATTCATTTAAAGTTTTAGTAAATTAAATACTTTATTAATATATATATATATATATATATATATATATATATATATATATATATATATATATATATATATATTATATATATATATATATACACATATATATATATATATATATATATATATATACACATATATATATATATATATATATATATATATATATATATATATATATATATATATATATATATATATATTTATATATATATGTATATATATTTATATATAAATATATATATATATAATATATATATATATATATATATATATATATATATATATATATATATATATATATATATATATATATATATAATACTGTAGAAAAATCTATTCTTACATCTTTTTTAAAAAAAAGGCGCGAATGTTCAACAGTTTTGGGGTGACAATCGGGGTGACAAAATGCCACTGCCAATGAATCAGATTGGAGCAACGAAAATTTATTATTAAAATGGTTTAATTACTTTATCTCATTTACTAAAACAATTAAAGACAAACCCATTTTGTAAATGCTAGATAATTATTAAAAGCTACATCAGCCTTGGTTGCTATCAGCTTTGTCGGTGAAGTAGAACTGTATAGTTATTCCTTATTCACACACTTTGCATGGCCTCCATCTAACTTTTTTATTTAAAATAATTTTTTTTTCGATTTTATTTTTAGGTGCCCCAAGAAGATCTAACGGTCTTGTCACAGAGCACCGCGGAAGTGCATTTAAGCATAAAGTTCACGCATCCTTCCTTACTGTGACACGAAAATATGTCCAGAGCTCGTTTCGAACCTGAATCTCCTGCTTATTTGAGTGGAACAAATTGTGCGCCACGGCCTCACAATTTGTTCCACTCAAATTTTTTAGGAAATGATCAAATTTTTAGGAAATGATCAGTATTATATATATATATATATATATATATATATATATATATATATATATATATATATATATATATATATATATATATATATATATATATATATATAATACTGATCATTTCCTAAAAAAAAAAGAAACCTCTAGGTGATTAAAAAAACAACTTGGGTTATGTGTTACAAATGTAAGTCCTGATTGCACGAGATCTGCACAAATAAAGAAAGCAAACTCAAGTTTTTTTCTGTGATTTTTGTTCTTAATTATTTTAATTAGCATTTTAATTATTAACACCCAAAAGAGTTTGTTATTATAACATGTGTTCAGAGTTACAAACGTACGTCACAAACGTAGGGTAATTTAAAAGTTTAAAAGTTTCGTTTTTGCACTAAATTTTGATTTTTTTAATAAGGTTTATAAAAATTGCTTTTGAGAGTTTGTGACTGGTTAGTTAGACTAAATGATAAGCCATAAATATAAATTTCTTATAATACTTTTCTTTAATATGCATTCCTATTAAGATGAATTTTAAAAAATAAATATAAATAACATATTTATGTTAAAACGTAGACTATTGCATGTTTCACAAATAAAAAAAAAACAATTTATGTATACTAATATTTTTCAAAAGAGTTCAAGATTTTATGTACAAATTGTATAATTACATGTTCATTGAAACTATTTTTTAAAACCAAATTGGCTTTTGTACCAGATAAATAGATTGTAGGTAGTTTTACACAACGCATTCTAGCATTTTCAGATTGTAAAGATGACAAAATTACTGATATTTTTTTGATCAACTTTTTTAAAAATTAAGACCACCATAGCAATTTGAATTGCTTTTAAAAAAATCATTGATTGTTAGATGTTCTTTACAATTTAAAAAAGGATACTTTTTTAGGTTCAAAACATTTTTTAAGGACATTTGAATTCAAGTGTCTTTAGAAAAACAAGACTATTGAAGCAAATGATATAAATTGTAGCATAAAATTAAGTTTAGAATGAAATCATAACACTAATTAGTTTAGTTCAGTAGTTTCAATTCCATGGAATTGAATCACTGCATTTAATGAAATTTTTTGTGCAGGTCGTAGTTGTACCTGATTCAGCAAATTATCTTCTAATCTTACTTTTCATCTGGTATTTAAAATTTTTTTAAATCTATCTTTTTTTTATTATTTACACGCTTGTCCCACTTTAACCCATACCTGCCCCGCTTTACCCCACATGCATGGTTCCTCTAAAAACTTTTCTACCATTAAGTAGATTTTCAACTTAATTATAACTTAATTTTAAAGTGAGTCATAAAATTACTATAAAATTAATTAATTTAAGTCATAAAATTTTATGATAAGTTAAATTATAAACTTTAAACTTTAATTATTAACCAATTTATTACATTTTAAAAAAGCTTTTACATGTCTTAAATAAAGAGTACATAAAAAAATATTTTTATACATTATTTATTCAAAACATGTATCATAAATTTTAGAAAATATTTGTTTAATTAATTAGACTACCCAAACCAATATCCTCAGTCTATTTATGTCACACTCCACTGCACCTATCCCTATATAAGTCAGTTAATTGGCGTACACTACACTGCGTGCACAGCTAATATTCATTCTTTAAATATCTTTTTAAGAAACATCTATTTATCTCAGTTGATTGATTTTTACCTATTTTAAAATTTAGTTTATTTAACTAATATATAAAGTAAATATAAGCATTTCTTGTGTAGAAAAAATAACCAATTATTGTATGTTTATAGTATAAACATTAAATTTCATAAAGCGTATAGATGTAAAAGTTCACACTCTTGACTCTTTTACCTTTACAACCAATAATTTCCTCTAGTATAGTTATTAGACGAATTTAGACTGATGTTCATCTATCTAAATATCAAATTTAGATGTTCATCTATCTAAATATCAAATTTAGATGTTCCTCTATCTAAATATCAAATTTAGATGTTCCTCTATCTAAATATCAAATTTAGATGTTCATCTAAATTTGCCTATATTAACACTCAAATTATTTTAAATCTTTTTATTTCTTTTTGCGTACCAGCCGAGTTTTCACGTTTGAAACAAAGAGCTTTAATTATTCATTTCATAAAAACATTTTTCTAGATTGGTTTTGATATTTAGAGAGATTTAGATTTCATGAAGTATGTAAAAGTAATAATTTAACTCCTTCATCTTTATAATTGATTGTTTTCTATGGACATCAGTCTAAATTTGCGTAAAATATATTAATGCTTAAACTATTTAAAATAACCACTATTTCCCTTTTGTGTTCTAGTCTAGCAATCAAGTCTGGTACATCTAAACAGCATCCCTACAAGCATTGGTATTGATTTTAATTCTGAATATTCTTACATTATCTTTAGGAAACTTTATATTTCATTTTTTAATGATATTTTTCCGAATTTCAAATCAATCTTGTGTATTCCAATATTTTAAAAATTTAAACTATTTTTTTTTTTTTTTTGTTCTTTTCTTGAATATTCAATATAGTTATACATTAAGATAGCTGAGATAAAAATCGTTATACAATAAAAGAAAATATATCCAAAAAAGAAAGAACGCGGAGACTCGCAGAAGACCTTCAGGTCTTATCATCGAGAACCGCTCGTGAATATTAAGTACATTAAATTAACATGAAGTATAAAATCTAAACAATGTCGTATTAAAAATTAGCGAGAACGTAAATTTCGTAATAATATATAAATAAAATTGGAATAAAGAAATTGTTGATACTCTTATATATAAATACAAAAATATTTTAAAAAGTACTGTTTTCACAAACACATAAGTTATGGATCAGATATAATATTTATATATTACCTTATGTAATAAACTTCATATTCATTTTTAAAAGAATTTAAAAATATAAAAAAATGTCTTCAAAAGACAAAACAATTTCTTTTAGTTTTTTCTTGAATGAAAGATAATTCCATTCATGGGAAAAATCAAAATTTTTTAAAACAATTTTGTTCTATAGAAAAGCTCCTCGATATGAAATACATGACTTTCCAAAATTAGTTAAAGATAAAGGTTGCTGAATTTGATTATCATTTCTTAAGTTATATTTATTTTTATCTTTTAAGGTATATAGATTATGAAAAGAAACTGGAGATTCGTTGGTTTTACACTTGAACATAAAACAAAGTATATTAAAAATATTTAGCTGATAAATATTAAGAATTTTCATTTGAAATAATAATGGTTTGGCATGAGCAAATCGATCTTTATAATTGATAAGCCGAGCAACATGCTTCTGCTGACGATAAAGAGGTAGCAGTTTAGATTTATTGGTATTACCCCAAGCAATATTTGCATAATTTATATGGCAATGGATTAAAGAGAAATATAATTGTGTTAAACTGTGTTTATTTAAAGCATTTCTAGCCTTGTACATTACTCCTATATTTCGAGCAACTTTGTTGCACAATAAATCAATGTGATACTTCCAACTAAGGTTTTCATCAATATTTATTCCTAAAAAGTTAGTAGTTTGTTCTCTTTTTATTTGAACTTTGTCAATAAAAAGTAAGGGCATCACAGGAGGTAGTAGCTTTTTTTTTGAAGTTTGATGAAAAAGTATCCAATTTTTTTTTTTATTTGCAGTAAATATAAACCAATATCTATTTTATCTAACATTACCAAGCACTTTGAAAAACTAATGTATACTAGATAATAATATTGTTTGAGTTTCTTCTGTTTAAATTAATTTTAGTTTGGATTTCGATCTAAAAATTTACTTGTCACGATTTTTTTGATCCAACCTAGAAAGATATTTTATTAAATATTTTGATGACTTTATAGGTTTTAAACTTCCATGAAACTTTCAAATAAACGCACTCCGTAAAAAACTAAATCGAGCTGATGGAATACTTTCAGTAAATTATCATTATACTCAGTGTGGGGGGCTAAGATTTTAGGATTTCTTGTTCCCATTTTCCTATCACAGTAAGTTGTTTTTTTTAAAGAATTTTTTCGTCATACATATGAGCGTAAAAAAATTTGGAATATTGTTATTGTTTATAAGTTGGTCATTTCAAACATTTAAAAACCTTCCTACTGATAATACTACCTATGAGTTTCTTGAATTTTTTTCAACCTCATTCATTCAATTACTTAGTTGTTACTAAATTTTTAAGTTTGGAAACAAATCGATTACTACAATATTAATAAATTGTTATTAGTTGAACGTCAACCCGAAAAAAAAACTTCAACTCTTTTATACAAAAACTCGAAACTTCTTTAAAAGACTTTTCAAAATTTTTGTCTGCACTATTTAAATTTGCTAATTTTCTTTTTGTTTTTGATTAACTTAATAAAAATTTACCTCCTTCTATAACAAACTTTTATACGGAAACTTGATACATATTTAACTAGAAATATCGACAATGGAAAGCTAAATGTGTGCATCAGTGAGAAGAACAGAAGTTTTGAATGTATTGTGAATGAGTGAAAAAATTTGAAAATTTAAAAGATTATATCTTTATTTGGCACAAAATAGATTTAAATAAATTTAAAAGTATATTGCTTTAGTTCATCGTCACTTGTGTAACTTTTTTTCATTTTTTTTTTTTCTTCTAATAATATTATTTTTTATTAATATTTGGTGATTTTGATCAAAATTATGCAACGCTTTTCTTGTCAAACAGTTGTCTTTATTTATTCATAATCATTAAATATTTGAATATTTCATTATAACTTTTACTAATAATATTATATTATTAATATATATATTTTTAAATTGTAAAGAAAAATGTATATCCTGTTGTTGTTTTTAGGAGGAAAAAAAAAACATAAAAAATTTTCGCGCCTTTTAAAACCCATCTTTAGCTTTTATTTATGTTTAATTGCTTTGACGTCCGAAATCATCAAACAAATGCCCTCCTCAATATTCTACATTTCAACCAGGGCTGTGGAGTCGGAGTTGCGACATTTTTAGCAGAGTCGGAGTCGCTAAACAAAATCGCGACTCCGACTCCAATAGTAAAACTTCTCGGTATTGCACGTGCATGTATAAAACATTCAATTAACCTTATATTTATACTAAACCTCAAAGAACGTTTCATAAATTTGTCAAAAAATTATGCGATATGTTAAAAAACTTTTTTTTAACTTATCGCATAATATTTTTTAAAAAATTCAAAGAATTTTTCAAAAATTTTGCTTTGGAGTTGGAGTCGGAGTTGTACTCAAAAAATTTCAACAACTGGAGTCGGAGTCGTTACTTTTTTTTTACGACTCCACACCCCTGGTTTCAACTGTATTTGTTATTTAATATGCAAGATGACAATACCACAAAAAACTAATATTGCATTTTTTTGTCATAATAAACGTAAAATAATATTTTTTTTTTACATCAAATAATTTATTGCATATATAATAAATCATTGTCTAATTTGTTAAGGACTAAACTTGTGCACCAATATACACAAGATTCACACATTTTGGTACAAAGAATAAAAACTGTAATGGTAAAAGAATGTTTATTCTAAAAAATTCTATTTGATTAATAGAAACATACTGGACCTAATTCAATGCCAAATTGTTCTCCAACGTTAGCGACGTCAAATACTGCAACATCTACAATTGGTAAACGCGAAGTTATTTTGCTGCTAAACTCAAAAACAGTTTTATGCCATTGATTGTCTTTTTTGTTACACTGGTCTTGAAGAACCTTTAACCTGTTTTTCATATGGCTGCCCGTGTGAATTTCTATGTCGTCGCTTGACATTATCTTGACATATGGTCGATTGTTACCAAAGGAATCGTTATGAGCATGAGAATTTAAACAGTGATAAGTTAAATTCTGTCTTACAAATTGACTGTTTAAACGTAAGAAGCGAAGCTGAACTTGACTTGCATAAGTGAACTATAAAATAAATAATTATAGGTTTGTAAATTTTTTGTATATATTCATAAAAAAAATTAATTCATGCCAAATTTTATTGTATTATTGAATCAATGACTCAGGTTACTTTATGATTTATGCATTTAAACAAACTAATTAAAAATTAAATCAATCATAAACAATTACAACATGGTACATTTAATTATAATTTTATGAAAATATATGATCATCATTAATCATTATGTAGATCACTATTATATCAATTATCAATTAAAATAAATCTATTAATCAAAACATCTTAATAACAGCTTTAATGTTATAAGTTAATTATATAAGATTAATTCAAAAATGTTAAAAAAAAGACTAACAAAGAAGCATGATAAATACTAAAACTAACAAAGAAGCATTTCAAATACTATAGAACACTTACTATGGAATCTGAAGAGATTTCTCCATTGAACCATTTCCATTGATCAGTGCTCTGAGAGACCGATTTTTTCTTTTCAAACATTGATACTGTCGGTTTAATACAGGTTTCAGAAGCTGTTGGGTAAAATTCGCATGTGACTTTTATTTTATCCACATTTGCACCCAAACTTGGATCAATATAATACTCCCCTAAAAGATAAAATCTAGAGAATGCAAAACAAATAAATGGAAGAAACAACAAATAGTAAAAGTTTTTCATTAAATACTTTTTCTTTATAAGATTCCATAGTACAAATAAAAAAAAAAAAAAAAAAGTACATAGTACAAATGCACATCTGTGAATGGAACTGAAGCCTTATAAAGATTAGAGGCAACAATAAAAAAATATTTTTCATACCACTTATTACATTGGGATGGCACATTTTCAGATCTTTACATGATTTAGCAGGAAAATATTCACTTCCATCTGGCTTCTGTGCTCCTTGTGTAATATCTTCTAGCCTAATAAGCTTTTCAATTACTGTATCTTTGTTTTTTTCAGTAGCTTCAACAAAATTCTCACCTCGTTCGCTACGATAGTATCTAAAACAAAATAGTAAAAAACATTTAAATAAAATTCTTTCATATTTAACACAAATACGATATTAATATATTTCTTAATTGCTAAAGCCTAACTGTTCTACTATAAATAAGAAATAATTATACAAAAAAAAGGACCATATTAAGCAGTTTTAAAGGTCAGTATTATTTCAACACTTTAAGCAATTCCATAACTTTGCATCATTCTCCTCAGAACTCAGAATTTATTCTGAACAGTTTTTCTGGGACACCATACAAAATAATAATAATAATTATTATTATTATTAAATGCTGTAACTGGTATGAACCAGTGAATGTGTTATTAGCACACTATGACAGATGATTTGCCTGACTGCTGCTCATCCAGCAATCAAGATTGGCTTTAAACTGATTTGGTTAATTCAGAAACTGTTAACTGTTTCTGAATTAACCAAATCGTTTGGCAAGCTATTCCATAAATTGGCTGATCTGTTAAAGAAAAAGATTTCTCTAATTTAAGAGAAATAAACTTTTTAATTGCTTTAGTTCTTTGGATAATTTGTAACAAACAGCCATCTTACCATCAGCAAATGATTTTTCCTAATCACTATGAACCCATTTGATGGTCTATAACCTGCGATTTATTTACTGATAAAGCATTGTCACTATAGTAACTTGATTTATTCATATTAGAAATTAGTTTCGATGGGAGGAGGAAGAAGGGTATAGGGGGAAGGGTTAATAAAAGGAGTTAGGGGGGGGGAGGTTAGTAGTTTTTTTATCTTACAATATAAGTAATTTTATAACAAATTTCAGTTTAAAAACCCAACTAATATTTTTTACAAAACATGCATAAAACTATTTAATTCTAGTGTGGCTTGTGGCCAAATGCACATTTTCTAACAACTGTTTTTTCAATAGGATTTATAATGCTGGTATAAGTTTTATAATTTGGTGAGAAATAAACCAAAAGCTAATTTATGACAAATCGAGATTTACAGGTTGACAATTTTGAAAGCCTGTTTATGCTGAAATTTTTTGTTTTTATAAGTGACTGAAATAATTATTTTCTAACTTTTAAGGCCGATTTTCACTGAATTTTTTTTTTTTAATTTTGAGATGATTTTTTATTTAAAATAGTAAATGCTAAACTATCAAAATTTAAACTAAACTTTTAAACTTGACTGTATACTCAAAACTTTTTACCTCCCTCAAACATATTAAACTACATATCATTTTAAGCATAAATTGAAAAAAGAATAAAAAAATACATACAGCAATATGTGAAAAATTATTTAGATAAACATTTAGAGGTGTAGCATAGATACACACCAAAATATGATTTAACAAAACAAGTTACCTGTAACCCTGGTAACCAGGCCCTTTTTCTGTATTACCCATTGGTGGAAATGAAGTCAGACCACCTGCTGCAAAATTGTTTACCCCGCCAGGTGGACCTGGTGGACCTGTAGGTCCGGGTGATCCTGGATGACCATCATCTCCAGGTTGTCCTCTCAATCCAGGAGCCCCCTTCACTCCATCTACACCAGTATCTCCCATTTCTCCAGGTAGTCCATCTCGTCCAGGCCGACCTCTTGGTCCTTGATTTCCCTAATGCATAGTTAAGTAAGAAATAGTTAAGTCTTTTGTTTAAATTTTTTATTTAACAGTTTATTTATAAAACTAACAAATTTTAATAAAGTTCAAAAAGAAAACTTTTCAATAATTTTTAACATTAGGTTGTTGCATATCAATTTTTTGGAAATTTTTTGAAGTATTTATATATATTTTTTGTTATATATTATTATATTATTTATTATATATTATATGTTTTTATATATTTTAGTATTTACATATTTTTTCGAAGTCAGTATGGTAAAATCTTGATAATTTGAATCTCCTTAATTTGAAAACCTTCATAATTTGATTAAATGCAAAGTCACCGTGAAATGCGCTAAAGTAACATTTATGTTCAACTTTCTATAATTTGAATCTCTATATTTCAAAAACCCCCACAATTCGAATAGATTTTTCAGATGTCTGTAAGATTCTCTCTGTTAATCAAACTTTTTAAATTTCTGAGGTGTAAAAATCTTGTTAAACTCTTTTTTCAAACTTGGAATGTTTTGAGTTTTTGAAAAATAATATGTGTGAATTATTTTCTTCTGTTTAAATAGCATTTAATATATATATATATATATATATATATATATATATATATATATATATATATATATATATATATATATATATATATATATATATATATATATATATATATATATATATATATATATAAATATATATATATATATAAATATATATATATATATATATATATATATATATATATATATTTATATATATATATATTTATATATATACTTATTTCTGTTTAAAAACAATATATAAATATACATTTAAAGATAGTTTGATAAAGGTTCTTAAAGACACAAATTGTGTCATTGACAAGGATTTACAAGCTCATAAAAGATAATCTACAATTACTGACTTTTTTTGAAAATGTAAAACTTTAAAACAAATAATATATATTGCATTTAGGCCTAAAAATCTCTATTTGTTTGTTTATTTAATTTCTATTACTTTGAAGAGAATATTTGAAAAAAAGTCAACTCTATATTTCAAAAATCCCTTTTTCTGATTGTACTGTACTTATTTATTAATCTGTATTTATATATAACAGTGGTACTAAAAATTGTGCAATAATTATGCATCAACTTAATATCATCAAGATATAACTAAATATAAATTGTGGAGATATTATATTGATATGCATCAACCTAACATGTGGAGATATTAGATTAATATGCATCAACCTAATATCTAGACATTTTATATTTAAGCAAAATATGGAAAAAATTGAATGTACATCCCCATCCATCATCCTACATCCCACTCAGAATGATATGTAAAATTTTACTCTATGAAAGTTAAAGTTTAACTCTGTGAGGGTTAAAAATTAATATACCAATTTTATCAAAAATAGTTCTATTTGAGGATTCTAAAGTTTGTATAATGTGAAACTTATACATATAATGAAAACTTAAGCAGCCCAATAAAAACTTAAAAATTATAATGTAAACTTAGTATAATGAAAACCTGAAAAGATTTTTTTTTTAATTTTAAAATGCTAACCGGATGTCCAATGCTTCCTTTATTACCATCAAGACCCATTTCACCTTGTTTACCCATTAGACCTTGTATACCATCAGGTCCTGTCAACCCACGAAATCCTTTATCTCCTTTTTCACCATTTTGCCCTTTGTTACCTTTAGAACCCTTTGCTCCACGAGAACCAATATTTCCTTTTGGACCTTTTGGTCCATCAGCTCCTTTTAATCCATCAATTCCCTAACATATTAAAAATAAATAAATATTAAATTATAACATTTCTTATTTAAACTTTTACTATGTTGTTCTATAATCAATTATCAATTGTTCATGTATACTTACACGAGTACCAGGACCACCAGCTCTTCCTTTAGCTCCTGTAGGTCCTGCTAAACCTGGAGCTCCAACAACACCAGGTAAACCTAAAAATCCTTTTTCACCAGAGTTTCCTTTTGGTCCAATGTCTCCTGGCTCTCCATTTTTACCATCTGTACCAGGCGCACCCTTAAAAATAATGAACACTAAAATAAAAAAAGTTAACAAAACAAGAATTGCTAAAAAGTTTATTAATAAATAAAAATTACATCTTTTCCAGATTTTCCAGGTAATCCAACTGGTCCTGGAGACCCATTTGCTCCTATAGATCCTTTTTGTCCTTTGAAACCAGGTTTACCAGGTACACCAGGCTCTCCTTTTGTTCCAACTGTTCCTTGAGCTCCTGGAAAACCAGAAGCCCCAATTCTTCCTTGTGGACCAGGTTGTCCAGGAAGACCAACTGGTCCTATATCTCCAGGTAAACCAGAAATACCATCTTCTCCAGGTTCACCATTTCGACCATCTTTACCTGGAAATCCAGGAGCCCCATTTTCACCTGGTTTACCTGGATGACCAGTTTCACCTGGAGATCCTTTTGGTCCATCTTTTCCCTGAGGACCAGGACGACCTGAAGGTCCTGGATTTCCATTTGGACCACGCCTACCTCTAGGTCCATCATTTCCAGGAGAACCTTGGTTTCCCTAAATTTATATTTAAAGCTATAAGTATAACAACATTCAATTTTTGCATTTGTATCAAATAAGGTATAAATTGTAAATGTTTTTTATACATACACGAGGACCTGGTTGACCACGATCTCCTTTTTCTCCTCTTCCTCCTTCAGCACCTAAAGCACCAATTTGTCCTGCTTCACCATTTCCACCAGCTGGACCAGTTTCACCTTTTTCTCCACGAGCTCCTAGTTCACCTTTTGCACCATCAGATCCAGGATGACCAACAGGACCTGGTTCACCAGGTTGCCCAGCTGGTCCTTTATTACCTTGTGGTCCAGGGTTTCCTCGCCTTCCAGGTAATCCATTAGATCCAGATCGACCAGGTTCTCCTTTTATACCAGATTCACCAGGTGGTCCTTGTAAACCAGCAGGTCCATCAGGACCTTTAGCTCCATCTTTACCTTCATCTCCAGTTTGACCTTTAGCTCCTCGTGCACCCTATATTCAAGATAAAAATGTTCAAGAAAATTTATCTAATTTAAGTAACTTGAATGTTTGTTATGCACATTAATTAAATTATATTTTTGCAATACTTACATGTTGGCCTTTTTCTCCTTCGGGTCCCTTTGAACCTGGTAGACCAGAAGATCCTGGTTGACCATTATCTCCAGGCAATCCAGGAGGACCTGAAGGTCCTTTATAACCAGGTATACCATCAGAACCTTGTTCACCAGGTTCTCCAACTAATCCAGGAGCACCCTTGTAAAGTAATATAGTAAGTTATATTAAATTAACTTGTAAATGTTTTAATATACAGTTGTAAACCATTTGTTAAGATGATCACAAAACTTAAAAATTTAGGTAAAAATGCTATTAAAAAAAACATACTCTTGGCCCAGGGGCTCCTTTGACACCAGGTGGTCCTCGCAAACCTTGCTCTCCTTGACGCCCATCATTTCCTTGATCGCCAGGTTGACCTGGATCACCATCTTTTCCAGGTGCACCAGATTCTCCGAGAGCACCTGGAGGTCCTTGATGTCCTGGTTGACCAGTGGGCCCAGCTAGCCCGCGCTCTCCTTTTAAACCAATGGGTCCAGATTCACCAATTTGTCCTTGGTTACCTTTTAATCCTTTATCTCCCTTAATTTTATTAAAACAAATAGAAAATGTAATGAAAAACTTATATTGAAACCTACAAATATGAAAAAATCCATTATTAAAGTAAGTTTTACCTGTGTTCCCTTATCTCCTGGTCGACCATTTTCACCAGTAGCTCCTGATAATCCAGGTGAACCCTTCATTCCTTGAAGACCTGGGATACCAGGTAATCCTCTTTCACCCATTGGTCCCATTGCTCCTGGTCGCCCATCATTTCCAGGGATTCCCTATTTTTTTTTAATGTAATCAATTATTGTAAAGTATTAAAATGTTCATAAGCATTAAAAAATAAAAAATAAAAATATTGCTAAACAAAAGTTAAAAAAAACATACCCGAGCTCCTTGCTTCCCAGATGTTCCAGGTTTTCCTGCTGGACCTGGACTACCTCTATCACCAGAAGCACCCATCTCACCAGAAGCACCAGGAGCACCCGTTGAACCTTTTATACCTTGCTGACCAATTTGACCACGATCTCCTCTCTGACCTTTCTCTCCAGGTGCTCCTGGTTCTCCTGGATTTCCTGGTATACCAGATATACCAGGAGGTCCATCAGGACCAGCTGGGCCAATATTTCCATCTCGACCTGGTTTTCCTACAGAACCAGTTGGTCCTGGTGCACCAGAACTTCCAGGACTTCCTGGATCACCAGTCATACCCTTTGGACCTTGTAAACCCTGAGGACCTTGTTCACCAAGAGCACCACGTGGACCAGGTTCACCTATACTACCATCAGATCCTTGCAAACCCTGATGACCACGAGGCCCTACTAGACCTCTTGGACCTTGGGAACCAGGTGAGCCAGAACTTCCTTTATCTCCACGAAACCCATCTCTGCCTCTTGAACCTAATGGCCCTTTTGAACCTTTTTGACCAGGTTCTCCAGCCTTTCCTCTTTCTCCTTGTTCACCGCGCTCCCCTCTGGGACCAGTTGCTCCTGTTTCTCCTTTAGGTCCTCTTTCTCCTTGATCTCCTGGTGTACCAGGCAAACCAGCCGATCCCTTAAATAAAACAGTGACAAAGTTATTTTACTTCAAACAGCTTCTTTGTTAATATGTTAACTTACAAAAAAATAACAATTCTTACCTGTGGCCCTGGAAGTCCTATTGATCCAATAGGCCCCATTAATCCTGTAGGACCCATTTGTCCTTGGGGTCCCGGAGGTCCTTGTAACCCACGAGGACCTGCTGGTCCAGTATCTCCTTTCAATCCATTTTCACCTTCCTGACCTTTTTCCCCTTCTTTTCCAGAAGAACCTTTTTCACCACTTGGTCCTTGTTCACCTTTGTTTCCTTTATAACCTTGTGGACCATCCAATCCACTGGGTCCTTGCAATCCCTACATATTTAAGAAAATATATTTAATCATTTATTTAAAAAAAATACAATTTCTAAATGAAAAAAATTAAAATGTTTACACTATGTGTTGACTCAATGACTCTTACATTACTTTTAATGTAAGAATCATTGGAAAGTAATATAAAATGAAAATAATTTAATCTGAATTGATGAACTCGTAAAATAATTTTCTCTTAATTATTTGTGGCACAAAATATCTTTGCTCAAAAGGTCTTGCTCACTTTGATTTTTTAATGTTTATTTATGTATTTTTTGCCACTGAATTCAAAAATCACATTTTTTTTTGACATAAATAGAACATAAATATATTTTCATTTATGCTATTATTATGTTATTAATAGACAATTATATTACAATAAATATTATTAATAATATAATTACTAAATACAATAAAATCTATTAAAAAAAAAAAAAAAGTTGTACTAAAGAAAATATAGGAAACAAAAGAATAGGTAAAAGATACACAGTATATATAGAAAGTAATAGCTAAATAGATACTTTCATTTGGAGATGGTTAACCTGTTTATTTATATCATGTTTTAACCATTCTATTTTGAACTTACAAAATGTTTGCTTCAAATAAATTTGAAAAATAATGATAATTCAGAGTAACCTAAAGCTGAGCATTTCCATCTACTGAGCATTCCCATCTACTGAACATTTCCATCTACTGAGCATTCCCATCTACTGAGCATTCCCATCTACTGAGCATTTCCATCTACTGAGCATTCCCATCTACTGAGCATTCCCATCTACTGAGCATTCCCATCTACTGAGCATTCCCATCTACTGAGCATTCCCATCTACTGAGCATTTCCATCTACTGAGCATTTCCATCTACTGAGCATTCCCATCTACTGAGCATTCCCATCTACTGAGCATTTCCATCTACTGAGCATTTCCATCTACTGAGCATTTCCATCTACTGAGCATTCCCATCTACTGAGCATTTCCATCTACTGAGCATTTCCATCTACTGAGCATTTCCATCTACTGAGCATTCCCATCTACTGAGCATTCCCATCTAGCAAATTTTTGTAATTATAATTTTTATTCTTTGTAGAAAAACTTTCCAATAACCCAAATATTATTTTAAAACCTGGTAAAGTTAATGGTGTCATCATATTAGATAAAGAAGTTTACACTCGTGGCATTTTGAAAATTTTTAAAAATTATTAATAAAACAAAATTCATACAACTTAAAATGTTACCATAAATAGAAATTTAACTTTAAAATTTTCTAAGGAAACTAAAAGCTGGGCATCTAGGATTTATTCTTGCAAATTTGTTTATGACTCATTTTAAAAATGAATGGATTAAAAAATGAAAATTTTTCAAAGCCAGTCTTCTATAAACAATTTTTAGATGATATTACCAAATGACATTGTTTTTTGGTTTTCGACTCAACATCTAATAAGTTCAAGTTAAAACTTAAGCAAAGTAATTTTACAGAATGTTTGAAACCTGGTATGAATAAACAGACTAATTATGTCTAAATGTTACTTTCTGTATTACTAAAAAACAATTAATTTCTCTGCGCAGCAGCCTTACTTGTCAAGGTTTGTTTCGGAGTTAAAGAGTTGAGAGAGGGTTCTACCACAATTTACAACAAAAATTTAAAAAAAAAATGAGTAGCTTCCTTAACTGTGGATAAAAAAATAGAAAAATAGTGGCTTCCTCGGGCCTTGGAGAGAGGAATAATTTTAAAAATATAAATATTTATATATATATATATATATATATATATATATATATATATATATATATATATATATATATATATATATATATATATATATATATATGTATATATATATATACATACATATATATATATATATATATATATATATATATATATATATATATATATATATATATATATATATATATATATATATATATATATATATATATATATATATATATATATATATACATACATATATATATATATATATATATATATATATATATATATATATATATATATATATATATATATATATATATATATATATATATATATATATATATATATATATATATATATATATTCTTTTTTGTTACTTCCTATTTGTTGTTTGTATAACTTACTAAATTTTCAAAATAGATTTTAAAGGATTTTTGTAATTATTATTATTAATAGTTTGCATTCTGATAATTATATTTTGTATTGTTTTTTTAATCACCTTTATAAGGGTTTAAACACATTTTAAATATTTTAGAGAAGCATTTAAACACATTTTAAATATTTTATTTTAGCTAAAAATTAGTAGGCCAAGTTGAAACATGAAATGTTTTTATTAATAAAAAGTTTGTCTTGTTTACTATATACATATATGTAAGAGAAAATTTTCTTTTGAGAATATTGAGTTAAGTGTAATTTAATATCATTAAAAAAATTATGAAAATTTTAGCTTCCCATTTTTCACCAATTTTTGAGAAAACTACCCCAAAAATCTGATATGTGAAAAAAAAACTTGTTTAAAATAAAGTCAACTTTCAAAAAAATTAGACCAATGGTTTAAAAAAGTTATTTAAAAAAAATACCTAGAAAAGTTTTTATTTTCAATATTTTCTATTGAAATCTCAAATGCGTTTTTATTTAATATTGTAAAGCCTAAAATATTGTTTTTTTTTTTAAATAATGTAATTGAATTCAGTCTTTGATGGCAACTTTTTTAAATCAGGCTGATACGCTCTAGAGAAATAATTACATTTTCTGTAAATTGAGACTTAAAACACACACAAAAATTTCTGCTAACTGTTTTTTCCTATTTGTTTAAATTTTTGATTTAGCACGAGTTTACGCAACCGCATGTTTGTTAACTGAGTTAATGTTAGGAGAAAATAAAATAAAACTGTTACTTTATGTCATTTTAGGTTTAAAAATTTATTTATCTTAATGAAGGAATCCTAGGAATCCTATTCTTGAAAAAAAAAGCACAAACACACAATTAATAATTTTAAATTTATCTTTAAATTATTCATTCATTTAATTTCATTTGTGGGAAAAACTTACAAGGAATAATTAGAAAGATTTAAAAATTTTGTGTGTGTATATATATATATATATATATATATATACACACACAAAATAGATAATGTATTATTATGGTATAATAATAATAATAATACAAATACTCTTGTGCGTTTAAGAGTGCTCAATACTATTAAATAATAGAGCAATATTTATTTATTTTTATTAAATGAATAAAAACAACTTTTAATGGGACTCTGAGTTGGCTGAAAGGCATGAAACTCAGAGTTCCATTAAAAGTTGTTTTTATTCATTTAATATATATATATATATATATATATATATATATATATATATATATATATATATATATATATATATATATATATATATATATATATATATATATATATATATATATATATATATATATATTTATATATATATATATATATATATATATATATATATACATATATATATATATGTACATATGTATGTATATATACATAAATACATTAGTTCACCTCCGCAAGGCCGCGAAGGCCAGCACAGATGAGGAGACTACTTGTGGTTATTACCCTCTCTCAACTCTATAACTCCAAAACACAAACAAATTAAAAACTAATTTAGAAGACTGGAAAAAGTTTGAAAATTTGAAGAAAAAAAATATTTACAAATTTTTAAACTTGATAGATTGCCTGCCTGAACCAAAAACTTATATCAATGTAGCAGCACCTTACATATGTTCTATAAAATTTAATTTGTTTCCTCAATTAAACTCAATGGTTTTTATATAAAGTGCACTTGATTTTGAAGAAAAAAAGTAATTCACCTCCCCAAGGCCGAGAAGGCCACAACAGTCCAGGAGACTACTTTTGTGGTTATAACTCTCTCTCTTTTAACTCAATAACTCTAAAACACAAACTTCGAAGAACAGGGCCGCTGCCTTAGAAAATTATCTTAACCCATTTGCTTAGCGGGTGACTCCTTTTTAAAATGATACTGATTATTTTAATTGTTTAAATGTTTTTTTAATGTTTATTTTAGAGAGAAAACTCTTAAGCAAAAAAAAGCTACAAAATTAATAAACAGGGGTGAAAGGTCCGAAAAAGGTCTTGTAGAATGAGGAAAAAATTGGAAGGGGAAAAGCGGTACCAAATATAGAACTAAACTTTATATATACTTTATCTACCTTTATATTATTTGATATAAATGATTTCTATCTGTCAACTTATAAATATATATTCAACAATGTAACTATCTTTGCTAAGCAAAAGGCAAAGGGCAAAAATATGCATGCCGTAAAATATTTAGTTTTTAACAATGAAATATCATGGATTAGAAATAAGTAGGATTGTTTGCACCATAAAAAGATTTTTCAAACCTTTGCACTATCAAAAACTTTTATTTCACCATGGCCAAAAAGACTTCGTTTAAAAAAAAAAAATTCAACTCCTTATACCTCATTAATAAAAGATAAATCATAACCTTATAAAACTCTCAACCATCTTCATTGAGCTCTAAATCTTATCGCCGAATTTATTATAAGCGAGTTGATAATAAGTCAGTTGTGTACACACAAATTTAAAAAATCTTTTTATCAACTAAATAATCTGTTTCTCTAACAGTACTGCTTACTAAAGATTTGTATAGTTTATCTAAATAAAAAATTTGAAGTGTTGTTTTAAGATAAAAACTTCTATTAAAAGGGCCAATAAAATATTAAAATGCAAAATACAAAATAAATTTCCTTTCATTATTTGTTACCAATGATAAGCATTTGATTGTAATTTGTAATTATTTTTTTTCTTTTTGATTTTCTACTTTATGGCTGATAATTGTTAATAAACATGAAACTTAAAGCTCCATAAAAAGTTGCTTTTTCTACATTTAAAGTATCACACAATCTATATTTTAATTTAATTTTTTAAAATGAAAGGCATTTATAAGTAGTATAATTCTACAATTAGGAGTTTAATGTTTTCAATACTAGACCCAATAATAAAAACAATTTTACATACATACATACATACATACATACATACATACATACATACATACATACATACATACATACATACATACATACATACATACATACATACATACATACATACATACATACATACATATATATATATATATATATATATATATATATATATATATATATATATATATATATATATATATATATATATATACTCAAGCATATTTATATATACATTTGCTCACTTTTTATTATTATATAAGTTATATCATGCATGATACAACTTTTATTATATAAGTTATTTTATTATATAAGTTTTATTTATATAAGTTATATAATGCTATATCAAGTTATTTTATTATATAAATTTTATTATATAAGTTATATCATGCATGATACAACTTTTGCTTAATCAATACGGCTTTTTTAGAAAAAGGATAAAAAAAAAAGAAGAATAATGAATGAAAAAATTGCTGTCCTATGCCTAACCCTCAGTCAATGTAGCAGCACTCTGCTGCAAGTCAGGCTCGGACAGCAGGCTATTTCAGTATGACGTCAGACTGCTCATCTAAATCAGTAGTATAAGATATATATATATATATATATATATATATATATATATATATATATATATATATATATATATATATATATATATATATTATGCCTAAAGACAATCATCAGCCATATAGAGCAGCCATATTTGCAACTAAAAGTTAAAATGAGTTATTAGAACTTCTAGCAAGTTCTTATGACTCAATTGAAACAGAATTTTTTTTCAATCACGCATGATTTACACACACATATATTTATATTTAGTAATTACCAAAATAAAAATTTTGCTGCAAAATTTTATGCTGCTGACAATGCCATATTGAAACAGCCATCTGTAGGAACTTAAGTATACTAACTGAGAGTTTAGGCTTAGGTAGGCAGTCAATGTTTAAAATAAAAAGAACATTTTTTTATGAAAAATAAAATTAAAGTGAAATTTTAAAATCTTACTTCTGGACCTGGTTCGCCTGGTGGTCCTATTGTTCCAGGGTCTCCACGTTCACCCTTAAATAAAATAATGAAAGAAAAACTACTTTTTCAAGTATTTTTTAACTAACAATAAATTACAAACAATGTACAAAATAAAATGAATTAATTTTCATATAAATAATTTTGTACAAAATCTATATATAACTAGAAACTTATATGAACATGTATTATTATAATAAAGAATTTGTTTGAGCTAGATTGGATCTGAAAACATTTGAGCTATATTTATTTATTTTAATTTCCTATGAAAAAAAACAAAAAAAAACATACATTTAAGCCATCACGACCATTTGTACCTGGAGATCCAGCTGGCCCTTGAGCGCCCTGTTAAAAATGATTTTTTTATTAAAAACAAAGATAATTAAAAGTTCATTTCAAATATAAGATATAGTAAAATCTGAGAATTAGTTATCACTACCAATATGACATTTTTACCTTTTCACCAGGATCGCCAGGTTCACCTTGAGGACCTGGTTCACCACGATCACCATACTGTCCTCTAGGACCTTGTTTACCATCAGGCCCCATTGGACCTTTTGGACCTTCTTTAGCAACAACTGATCCTTCACTTTCTAAGCTTCCAGCTAGCCCTTCTCCATTAGGTCCTGGACCCTTTTCTCCAGTTAGCTATATAAATAATATAAATGTATGTTAAAGTTTTATAATTTTAATTCTTGCACAACTAAGTTTTTACTTAAAAATGTTCTTACTGGTCCTACAGGTATTTCACCTCCACCTGGTCCTCCTCCAAATGCAGGACCAGGTGGACCAGGTTTACCACGCTTTCCTCTTTTTCCATTATCACCAGGTGGTCCTGCTAAACCCTATTTAATAGTAAAAAATTTACAAACATCTATATTAAAACTATATAAAAAAAACCCATTGCCACAAAAAAAGTTTTGGCATTTCAAAAAAAAAAATTAAAAAAAAAACTTAGCTTTCTATACCTTATCTCCTTTCACCCCACGAGGCCCAGTGGTACCTTTAGCACCTTTTACTCCCTGAAAAAAAAATGATTTTTAATATTTTCAACAGAATATTGCTTGCAAGCTATTCTATCACATCATGTTGTTAGTTAAGCAGAATTACTGTAATTTGCAAATTTACTCTTTTTTAAATAATAGCAAACTTTCCATACAATTGTAATTATTATATAAAATAATATATGTGATAGTAAATAATAACCCTGAAAACAAATATTTTCAAAATAATAATAAAGTTCTTGTTTAATTATCAGTATAATTTAGGTTTTTAAGATAATTAGATATAAAGGATATTTTTCTCAGCCACCAAAGCTTTTTTAAATATATTTACCACTAAAGTTTATTTTCTATTATTAAATCAAAATAGTTGGTATTTTTTTTCTGACAGAAAATCAAAAATAAAAATAACAACACAGAAAAAAATGCAGTTCAGTGGAAAAGAAATATTTTTTTTAGAATTCGACATTTGCTTTTAAAATATTGGTAGTATTTATCGAGAATATTGTTTTCAGATTGTTGCGAAATAGAAACCTTATCATATTTTCACTCATTAATATTGAACCTAAATGGCTGCATCATTCATGGTTAAAATTTCGATTTCTCAGCTTATCTTTCTATTTTTATTTATTTTTTAATGGTTTTTGGCTTTAATGTCCAAAAGATTTTTTAAACTACATTTTTCTAAGTTTTAAACTGATTAAAACATTTAATTTGATATAACCAACTTGTATTGTTTATTAACATAAAACATACTAAAGTAGCATTTTTAAGAGTAACTTGTTGCAACAACGTTGTTGACCTTAACAGCGCCTTAGGGATCGTCCATAAAATATGCTTCGCAAAATTTATTTAAAAAACAGAAGTACGTGATATAGAGCTTTTTTACGGAGCGATTTTCATTAAACTTAATGGCCTATTTGATTTTTTATTTAAATTGACTCTGCAAGGGAAAACTTTTAATCAATTTTGTTGAAAGTTAAATCGTCCATAAATTACGTTACGTAATTTATGGACGATCCCTTAACAACAAAATTAGAATCATTATTTTCAACATTTAAATATTAGACGTTAAAATGGCTTTTGTTTTAATACAATCTTTCCACTAAATATTTTTTTGTAATTTTTCAACTAAACATAGTTATTAGCTATACTTCAAAAGCACTTAAACTTAAAATAATGTACTGTTTTTATTTGCTGTTGCTAGGGCGGATCTAGAGGGTATCCTGCGATTAGTATATATATATGGGGTATCCTGTAAGTATCCTGTGATTTGAATCACAGGGTCAGGGGAGGATAGTATATCTTTCAATTAAAAACCGGTTAATTTCAATTTAAAAAAACGGCTAAAATAAATCAATTTTTTTAATCACCTGTGAACCAAATACACCTCTGCCTAAACTTTAGGTTTATAGCACGTACAGTGAACAAAAAGACCTTTTAAATTTATAAAATTAATTATAGATAATATTAGTTAAATAACAATTCAAAAAAATCAAGTAAAAACTTAATTTAGTTGCTTGAATTTTGAAAAGCTTGAATTTTGAAAAGCTTCAAATAAAGAAAAGTATCCAGAAACAGACTGCTAAGCTAAGGCAACTACGAATACTAAATGTCTAATTTATGAACAGAAACGCCTAAGCATCATTTTTAACAAATTTATTTTAGATAGGTAACTAAAATCAATAAGCAATAAGTAGACAGACTCTTTTGTCCCATTAGCTAGAAGATATTGCATTTCCCTCTCTGCAAGATCTTAATTCCCCCCCCCCCTCCTTACCTCTAAACTCCTTAAAACTGGCTAGGTGGGTTGTATTGAAAAATAAGCATTACTCATAAAAAATCCTTCATCCGCCATTGTTTTATTAGTGTTTGATGTTTATTTTATGTGATATATTTTATTATTAATGAAATGAATAACAAAAGTAAATATAAATACAGTTTATAGTATTAAATTTCTAATTTAGATATTAATAAAAATTCTATTTTACTTTTTTCTATTTTCCTTTTTTTTTAATATTTTGTGTGGGTGTAAGGTTTACATTTACAAGAGATCAACCATAAGTAAACTTCCTCAAAAGTCTACACACTTGAGAGGAAATGAGAGGAAACTAACACCGTTGGCAAATAAAAGTTGTAAAATAAAAATGTTTTAACTATATTTTCTAAACCAACTTAAACAAAATTTAAGAATTTTTGAAAGATAAAAACCTTGAAAATTTTTTTGTTAAAAATTTTTGATTTGGAAGATTTTATTTAGTTCATTTGTTTCACGACATCAGCATTGACGATCAAAACCCAAACCTGTATTCAACTAACTTGGTATTACAAAAAACAGAGTGAGGATACAGCTATACAGATTTCAAATCATAAATATATTATTGTGGCCCATGGAGTATAGATGCTTGTTGGACGTCTAAAGGACGCCCTACAAATTGTGACGCCGGATTAAATATTGTATAGACATCTTACGAACGACTGTGCCCTAACTATTTATTTTACGTATTAAAATTATATAAATTGACTGAAAATATGGGGAAAGAATTAATTAAGCATTCATAAATTGACTCACGCGTTTTGGATTTAAAAACAGATTTACTCAACAAAAATTGTTCATGATCTAAAAATTTTTATTATTCTTCATAGTATCAAATCTAACTGTTAAAATACCATATCATTGTATCATTCATATTATTAAAATATTATTCATAATAAAAAATTTAGTTAAACATAGTATCAAGTTTAGATGTTAAAATTCCATTTCATAGTCCCATTCATAGTACCAAAATATCATTGATAAATCAAATTAAGTTGTTAAAATAATTGGTTCTTGATTGATTTGAAACGGTTGGTCAAATAGCGATAAACCGAATCCAACACTTTACTTAAACGTGATTATATGCATCACTTTTTTTTTCTTTTTTAACTTTTTTTTTAAATCCAAAAAGTTTAATCTTATAGATATGTATTAAAATCACAGTCATATAACTGTTATAGAACACGTTAAACGATGAGAAATATTAGGTGTCAAAGCAATTATAAAAAGGTACACATAATAAAAAAACAACCTCTATTTAAAAGTATAAATTCAGAATGGATAGACATCCTGCCCCTAATAAAACAGTCTAAAATAAAATTATTTACTTACTGGGTCTCCTTTGTCTCCTGGATCACCTGGATTTCCTTTCAATGTTATAGGAGCAACAGGTGGACTGAAATTTCGAGTACATAAAAGGTTACAACCATCGCTGCAACATTTTTCATTTGAATTAGGGCAATCCGAATCGGTTATGCAGCTATTTTCATCTTCAGGTGAACACTCGCGGGTGTCATCTTCAGGTACAGGTAAACATTCTCCCGGCCTGGTCGAAGTACCTAAAATTATTCATTTTTAGAAACAAATAAATTTTTTCATAATAAATATAAGTTTGATTATTTTTTTATTGATTTTTTTTATAGATTATTTTTATTTTTGATTATTTTTGATTATTTTAAACATTGAAAAGCATTTTAACTTTAAGTTAAAATAGTTAAAACTAAAAAAATCCATATAAAGTACAAAATCCATATAATATTTTTTCTATTAATTGCTTTAAAAGTAACAAAAAAATCAATTATTGTGGTCAATACACTATCCTAATCCTTAACAACGTTATAGCAACGGTGTAAACAGCTAATTTATTCATTTTACTTTTTGAAGATTTCCACTTAAAGTTTCAGTGTTAGATACATTATGATTTTAAAATATTATTTTTCTAAAAGTGGTGTTCTTTTTCATTATTCTAATGTAATTTAACTTTATTTCTTAACTTTATTGAAAACTAACAATCTGGATAAGGCAAACTAAAGAAATAAAATTCGAAATTTGAAGAGAAAGTAGGGAGAAAATAGGTATACAAAAAGAGCAGAAGAATAAATAGTTGTGGCAGTCAATCAGAAACAACAAGTGCATCACAGCTTAAGAAAAGATAACTGTATATAATGATGGACTGTAGTCCATCAACAAACTGTGGTTCTGATGTCGATAATTTTTTTCTTTATTTGTAACTTTAGAATTATTAAAAAAATAATTGAGCAGTATTCTACATGCAATGAGTGTAATAGCTAAATGTTTTTCATACCGATATACGTTTTTTTTTATACGTATGGTATTTTCTATTGGAATTATTATTCAATGTTCAAACTGTGACTTTAATAGTACATTTTTTTCATCTCTATCTATAAATCAAAGTGTTTCTGGTTCAAAACATATGAAATAAATATATGTGCTGCTATGGCATTGGAAAGCTACATACGCTTGCTAAGTTAATCATTTTGGCAGCAGGGTCAATGGAAACTTTTGGAGTTCAAGAAAGAGTTCAATCGTCTATAAAATAGTATAATTTATTATATTCTAAGTACGTTGGACATAATGACTCAAGTTCATTTTCTAATGTTGTTAAAAGTAAATCATATCACCATATTATGGTGATTATATTATCGAAAAGCTATCGAAAAATTATCAAAATAGAATGTATTGACCATACCAGAAAAGAGTATGGAATGACACAAAACTGCAATAAGTCTTTTAAAGGTTGAATATGGCAGCGATGTCATAAAGCAACTTTTACTGAAATAAAAGTTCATGAAATATCTGTTTATTATTCCACTTGAAAACTGCATTGTATGTTTATGCAGTTTTCAAATGGAAGTAAAACGGTAAAATATATATATGTTATATGTATATATAACATAAATATATATATAATGATATATATATGTTATATGTATAATATATATATGTTATATGTATATATAATAAATATATATAATGATATATGTTTTAACATTACATAATTTGAAGTTTTCATAAGTTAGATATTTGTACACACTATCACGTTTGATTATAAATAAAGTGCTGCAACTTTTCTTGCCATTACCTCGGTTGCAATGGCTGCCAAGAGCTCCGTGTTAAACACAGTTGAAAGGGCACTCCTAACACAACTATTATGTTCGGCAATAATATATAAGATAATAATTAGCGTTGCGTTATACAAACGTTACTGCATATGTTGAGCACGTATTTAAATTTCCTTGACATTGTGTTTAAGGAATTTAAAAAGCAAAATATTTTTCTGTGTACCGAGTTTCAGTTATTTTTTAAATTTATTTTATAAGTATATAAATAATGGTTTTTAAACAATAAAAGCCTAGTTTGTATAAATCGCGTCTAAAGATTACTAAATGAAAGCTTTAAATTTAGATCTTTCCATTTTATTTTTTAATTATTTTATTACGATATTTTATAATTTTGAAGTTCATTTGTGATCAATATTGATTGTAGGGAAAAAGCGCCTATGATCGCATAACTTTGATGCTTCATTGTTCAGTGTCCTGAAGACCAGTAATAAAAGTTTTGAAATGGATACATTCCTTGTTAAATTTAGAACAAAACCTAGGAAGTTTTCATCAGTTTTTTTTTTTTATAAGTTATTTCTATTTTTAAAAAAAGCACAAGTATGCCATCATAGGCAACCACTGCTCCTATGATGGCATAGAGGAGTCTGGGGCTGGTTATGATCAAGGGTAACTTACTGATTTCGTTTAACCTCTTCTCTCATAAAAGCCAGAAATTACCCGGAAGCATCCAAATTTCTTGCTATACAACAGCATTGTAAGGTTTCGCGCATGCGCATAAGATGTATTGCAATTTTTGCATTTTTTAGATCTTAAAAAAACATTTAGCGCATCGCTTTCTTTTTACTTTACTTAAAAATAAGTTTTTCTTATAAAAAATAAGTTTTTTCCAAATCCTCAATTTTGCAACACACCCAATTCGTCAGTATGCCATCATGGGAAGAAGTCATCATTTTCATTAAATGAAAATTCCCTTTCTGCACTGTTAATAATAAAATCACAATCTTAAATGTATGAAGGGAATAAAACTACAACAACACATCCCAAAATCGATTTTTGTTGATTATAAAAGCAATATTTATGCACAAAGGACGTATTTTCACTAAAACTAATGTAAAGCCTGTAAGCCTATGTAAGTCTAATCAATTTTTCACCAAAACCAATTTTTATGGAAATATGACAGTTATGCCATCATAGGCGCTATGCCTTTATTGGCGCCTTTCCCCTAAATAAAATCTCATAGCATGCTTTTGATTGAACAATTTAATTCAAAAATTAACAACCAAAAAATAAACAAACAAAAAAGAAATCAAAACACTTTTGTTCAAAAATTAGCTGCTTGTGATTTTTATGATTTTGCGTATATTAAATTGTGAATCGAAGATATTATTTGTAATCTCTATGCAATTAAAAAAAGATTTTATATGTTACATTTCACTGTGTTATTTTACTAAGGCGCAATTTTTTATTAGTAAATTGCAATTTATTTTGAATTTGAACCCTGGTCACTACTGCTATATAGAAGTATGCTGTCCACTGTGCCTTCTCATATGTAATACTTGTTAAAATTTATACAGCTTTAAATTAAAAAATCATCTAACCATACTTTGCAATCATGATTTCAAATGAACCAATTAAAATCTACTACGGTGAGTTTAAAAGCAAAACTTTAAGCAACGATCATGATTTCAAACGAACCAATCAAAATCTACTACGGTGAGTTTATAAGCAAAATTTAAAGCAACGTTGCGTGAGCAACAACGTTTAAATAATAGGAAGTCGTTTGAAAAAAAAATATATATTGTAAAAATTTTAGTCACAATTGTTTTAAAAATTTTTTTAACAATATTCATACAACCATAATAATTATTAGACTAAAAAACTGCTAAAAAATTTGATTGTTTTACTTAAAAAATGAGTTTCATTATTCATTTCCTTTCCGTCCCAAATTACATTATAATGGTAACGATTTTTTACTTAGCTAATGAGCGTGTTCGATAAAAAAACACAGTTGTCCATCTATGCCTCTTTTTACAATTTCAATGAACTCAAAGTATGATAAGCTCTGCTCCATTCTCATTTTGGTTTGAAAGATTGTCTTTGAAAAAAATCTGCTTATTATTAAGGGAGACCAGCGCTAGTTGTCTCTGCTTTTATTCTCAGAGCTCTGTAGCCCTAACGGCAAAATTTTTTGTAAATATTAAAGCGCAGTCTTAAAGAGTATGAAGTTATACAATATTTTTAACTTGAACTCATTATTAAAAAAATTTTCTTGGAGCCCTTTCTAGGGCTTCAAAACAAATGTTTGTCAATTTACTCCACAGCTCGGTATCTTGACTCAAACTATAAAAATGATTATTAATGTACTATTAGGTGCAAAATTTATAGAATTTTTTTTATTTTTTATTTTGGCAACAGTTTTAATCCAAAAATTTAATTTTACTTATAGCTGGTACAAAATATTAGTTCATATTTTGGTACCAAATATTAGTTCGTATTACTTTATATCTGCTAAAAAAAAAAAAAAAAAAATTTTTTAAGAAATTTTTAATATTGTTAAAAACTAAAAAAAAATTATTTTTATAATTTTTTTTTCTATAGTAATTGCTGTAAGCCAATTAGCCCCGTGAAAGTTTTTCTAATCTACCCCTAAAGTCTTTTTTTCAATAAACAGTTTATAGATTCTGAAAAACGGAAACTATGCAAAAAAATAATCTGATTAGATATAGTAAACCAATCGTGACTAAAATTTCTACAATAACATTTTTTTCATACGACTATTTTCTTTATAAAGTAAAAAGGAAGCGATGTTATAAAAGTTACGTTTTTGTCCAAAAACACATAAATCCAAATATCTCCCATGCCTATGCGCGAATTGTAATAATACTACAGGGAGTGATGAAATGGTCAATTAGGAAGGTTCTCTGTAGTTTTTAGCACTTTCTGATGAAAGGTTTTGAAGATAAAAGAAGTTCGTCAACTTACCCCTGTTGCAAACAGGCCTCGGTCTCCCCTACCATACTATTACAATAGTGTTTATTAGCAAACTTTAGAGTCAACTTTTCTTTTACTTTTTAGGCTATACTTATATACTTTAACATGTTTCAAATTTTATCTAGAAATATTATTGTATAATATTACTAGATAAAATTTAAACATGTTAAATTTTCAAATTTTATCTAGTAATATTCAAATTTTATCTAGTAATATTATACAATAATATTATTATTTACTTTTTAAGCTATACTAAAATATTAGTATAGCTTAAAAAGTAAAAAAAAAAACAAAAACTTCAGTACTTAATTACTCTCGCGTTTGGGGTTGAAAGAAATAATATTTTCAAATTTTATCTAGTAATATTCAAATTTTATCTAGTAATATTCAAATTTTATCTAGTAATATTATACAATAATATTATTATTGTATAATATTACTAGATAAAATTTGAACTTGTCAAAGAATAAAAGTATAGCTTAAAAAATAAAAAAAACAACAAAAACTTCAGTACTTAGTTACTCTCGCGTTTGAGGTTGAAAGCAATATTGATTTTGGCTGGCTATCTAATCATAAGTTTGGATCTAGTTTTAACTTGAATAATATATATACCACGTTAATTTTTCTTTTTTAAGTTTCTTATTTTTAAATACAATTGCTGAAAAATTAAATAGCAGTAACTTTACTCAAACTTCAGTTTATGACAATTTATATCATCTAACTATTTTATATTGTATGCAAATTCTTATAATATATATATATATATATATATATATATATATATATATATATATATATATATATATATATATATATATATATATATATATATATATATATGTATATATATATATATATATGCATATATATATATATATATATATATATATATATATATATATTCTAATAAAATAAAACTATAATAAAATTTACCTCCTAAAATGTTTTACGCGTTTTCTAAAAAATCAAAAAAAAATTAATTCGGGAAAAAGAACTGCAGCTATTATCTTACCTTGACCATAAGTGAGCGCTATAAAATGTATGCTCATTAGCATGAACAGACTGCTTGAAAATGCCATTATAGGCCAGCAGCTTAATAGCCACTAACTATAAAACCAACTTTTCGTTTGCAAACTAATCCGCTCAAAAGTATTTTAGAATACTAATAAAAGTGAACTTGGCATATGAACACAGTCTTATTAAAGAAACATAAACCAAGTTTTTTATTTCATTTTTAAGAACCGTAAAAATGATTGGTTAGTTTATAGCTAGCCGGAAATGAAGATGTTCTAAGTTGATACTCTTCACTGTTATTTGATAAAATTATTTAACACAATTCAAATTTACTACAAAGAAGAAAGCAATTAAACAATAGATAAAGAATGCCAGGTACAGTTCTTTTGTTGTAAATACAATGCAATTAGACCTCAATTTCCGAGAAACAAATATTTGTATAAACTTTTCATATTAATGTTGACAAATCATAGTCATTGGATAGTTTTGCACAGTTTTTCTTCTTTGTTTTTATTTCATTAGTAAGTTGTTTTTAAAAAGCTTATTTCGTATTATGAAAGCACTGAGCAATAGCTAAATTGAAAAAAAATGGAATCAGATTACAATAGCTAAAAACTATATATATATATATATATATATATATATATATATATATATATATATATATATATATATATATATATATATATATATATATATATATATATATATATATATATATATATATATATATATATATATATATATATATATATATATAGAAAGAGAGGGGCGGAGACGCCCCCAATTAAAATACTGGGGACGGACACTGCATTTAGTCCCCCTCCCCCATTTTCTAAACAGTTTAAAAAAAACTTTTATGATAGCAACAGCGGAATTATCATTTTCCAGTCTGCATTGACTCAATCATCACAAGGAAAAGTATAGCCATAAAACTGTTAAAGATACTATCGCATTTTAACTATTTTTTAAATGAATTTGTGCTGGCAAAAGATGAGGAGTCATGTTAAAAAAGTGAATAATCACGTTGCGTGTGATAAATAGTTGAATAATAGATCATTTTTATTTTGCTGAATCATACGAAGTTGAGGAACTTTTTCCTTTTTAACATATGCTTTCAGCCCCCCACCCCACTCCAACTTTCACGACCTTCCTACGCCACTGTTTGCATTCATTTTATAAATTGCACATTTTACAAGTTATATATATATATATATATATATATATATATATATATATATATATATATATATATATATATATATATATATATATATATATATATATATATATATGTATATATATATATATATATATATATATATATATATATATATATATATATATATATATATATATATATATATATTTAATTTTATTTATATAACGATTTCAATGTCAAATTTTTGATATAGCATATTTATTTAGGATGGGTTTTCATTCCATAAGATGCTTTTCTCTTGATTGTGTTATATGGTAAAATTGCTAAAGTTTTCTTTGGAGTTTACTTTATAAGAGTTTTTTTTTTAATAACTTAAACTTTTCAAGTGCTTCGCGGTACTTTAACTTCAAAGTCAAAGAAAAATATTTTTCCAATACACGCGTTTCCAAGGTGAAATTGATAAATCATCAAAATGTTTAAAAATCAATTAAAGCTAGCCTATGAGGTAAATTTGATCAAAATTTAGACTTTAAAAAATGTTAGACTTATTTTGCAACAGTTTAGCAAAAAAAAAGTATACATGTATTAGCATATTCTTATCCGGACATAGTGCAACTTATTTCTCTGAAAATTAGATTTTTTGCTTGTTTATTTACTTTTGATTTTTTAAAGTATCAGTAAAAAAAAAAGCTGATGTTGTATCTAACTGGTCTCCATCAGGAAATTGAAAGTAAGCCCACTTCTTTGCTTCTTCACAAATTTCACTTTGACCTATTGAATGGGACGGAAACCTTTTGCGATCTCCCCAATCTTGTTTAAGATGGTACTTTGTTCTTTCCTGGGTTAGCAACACCGAGCTTTGATAAAGTCATTAAAATGCTTGTCTTTACTCTGCTTAACGCTGCTCGCTTCGATATCTCATCATTGCTTTCAACCATGGTTGTCATCTAAAGAATCGTCAGACTGTGGTATTTATTGCATCATTGAAAATAACTGCAATGGTACCTCCACCAACACCGCTATTCTTAAAAATAATGCGTCTGAGGATTTGATTCCTATCAAGAGCACAAATACCGGTCGGGTAATTTTTTAATTTCCGGTTAATTTTGGACTTGTTTAACAAAGGTTTCTTGATACCAACGTTGAAAACAACAACTGTCAAACCAGCCAGATTTAAAGAATCATAGCAACCGTGGCGCAGTGGTTATTTAGCCTTTTTTTTAATTTTTTTTAAACTATCTAAAAATAACAAAATATAAAATATTACTGATTACAGTCACTGATGTTTGTAAATTTGACAAAACTTTAGTGTCATGGTACCACAAACAAATACCCATAAAATTGTTATCAGTTAAAATTGGTAAAATTTGCAAAATGCAATTCAAACCATGTAAAAAATACTGAATAAACAAGCTTTTAAAAATAGAATGTAATTAATCCTCAGTTTGATTAAATTTCCCCCGCAGATCAATTTCACCTCATTTGACGGTATAAAACCATGTGTGGGACCATGTTTTCAATAAATCATTACAAGTATTTGCAATAAGTTCAAGCTTAAAATTTGTTTACAATAAATAAAGGTTCTAGCAAATCACTATCACATTAATGAACAACCTGAAATAAAGTAGACCAAATATGGGGGAATTGTCTATGTTTAGTTCCTAAGCAAAAATTCCCTCATAAACACATTTTTTCCACAATGTCTTAAAAAAGTTTGATCCACTTTAATTTCTAAATTTTTTTAACTGAAAGATGAATTTAATATTGATGAAGCATTATATCAAATGTCTCAGCTAAGTCTACAAACGTTAACAGTGTATTTATCTGCTAATAAATTTATAATAAAATAGTTTCTATTCATTAGTAACGGGTGCTTTTTTAAAAAAAAATCCATGTTAGTTAGTTAATATTTAGTAAATTTCTCCTAGGTGTTGTAGGAATGTATACCTTTTATCAAGTTAGAATGTCTATTTATCTATCATGCTTTCTCTGAGAATTGCAATCACAGTTTACATGCAATTGACGTCATAGAAATTGCATAATATCAACTTTAATAAATTAGACTCAAAATCTAATTTCACTCTTAAGGATCTATAGATGTGAAAATTAATAACTTTAAGTTTCTGAGATAATTGTTGTAAACTTTGATTTTAAAGTATATATATCATCATTGAACCTGACAACACTTCTGATTACTGAACACTGACGACTTGTTAAAACCTAACAAAAAACTAGGTTGATATGATATCAGCAGTAATGTCATTATTAAATCAATAAAGAATATAACAATACCACTTTTAAACATTTTAAATTTATCTCTGAAACATGGAGTTTTACCTAAAAACCTAAAAAGTGCAAAGGTTACACCAATTTTTAAATCAGGTGATCCTTCTAATGTGCCCAACTACAGATTTCATTTCTTAACTGTTTTTCTAAGATTTTGCAGCGTGTTATGTATAATAGACTTTATTCTTTCTTAAATGTCATTGATATTCTTTACAATAAACAAATTGGATTTAAATCTTGTTATTCGACCAATCACGCAACGATTAATCTGGTATATGAATTATTTAAAGCTTTTCATGAAAAAAAATTTACTTAAGGTGTCTTTATTAATCTAATAAAAGCGTTTGATACCGTAGATCATTACATCCTTCAATAAAAAAATATTATACTTTAAATTCTAACTTAGCTTGGTTTAAGAGTTATTTAACAAATCGAAAGAAATGCATTTTAAAAGATGGCGAAAAAACAGATTTAACGACAATTATCTGAGGCGTTCAACAAGGATCAATTCTGGGACCGCTTTTATTTCCCATTTATATAAATGACTTAAGTAAATTTTTAAATATCTTAAATTATTCAATAAAAAATTCTTCAATATACATACAGTATTTTTATGTTCTCTATATGAATCGGATTTTTTAAGAGTTGACTTGATAAGTTAAAGTTACGGAGCACCTTATTAAGTAATTATGATTAGTTTTTAAAAACCGGTTCTTAAAGGATTTTAAATTTTGATATTTAAATATAAGTAACAAATTTTGAAAAAGACTTAACTTATAGACTTATTTAACTCATGGTAACGGCTTGGAGTGTGCGTATTTTTGCACATCACATAACTCTACTGGCTTGTTTTCGTTTAATATACTTTTTTTTTCAATGCTGAAGGGCAAGTATTAGCGATATTACAATAGCTTATGTTGCTATTGATATAAATCAATTAAACATTTTTTACTTTGTAGGTGTTTTGTTTATACAGTAGAATTCCGTTAACTCGGACTCCGAAGGGGTATATATTTATTGTCCGACTTAGCGAATGTCCGAATTAAGCAAAGCTCTCGTTAAGTCGGACTTTTTGAAAATGTCCGACTTATTGAGATTTTGAGACTTAAATATATAGTATTATGAGATATAAATGTTATATACGTACCAAGGGCGGGGCCAGCCGGGCCGCGCCCTGAGGCACCAAAATTGGGAGGGCACAAAATTCCCCAAATTAATTAATTTATTTTCACATTATGAAACTAATTTGCGTGGCGTCACTTTTATGTTGATAAGAAAATTAATTAAAATTGCGCCTCCTGACGAACTTTAAAATAAAAGCTCATTTACCAAACAGAAGAGCGCCCTTAAACACTAAAAAGTTGTATTTTCTGAACATTATTTTTTACAATGAATCGTGCAAAAAAATTATCTGGTGCTGAATTTAAGAACGACAATTAAAAACCAATAATTATTTATAATATAAACAAATGATTCATTAAGGATCGTATAAATTAATTTAACGCACACATTAAAAATTATTCTAAAAAGAAAAAAATATAGAAAAAAAGAACTTCGAATTTAAAAAAAAGAACGCTTAATTTAAGCGACTTAAATAAAGAAACAAATGAAATGAAAGCTAAAGAAAGTAGAATGCGACACTTCAGCTCAAAATGGTATGAAAAATTTATCCCAATGGTGAAAAATTTGTTCGCTACTGGCTGCTGTACAGCAACAAAAAAGATTCTTTGTTTTGTTTTTGTTGTCTGCTATTTTCAACGACAAAAATCAACAATTTTTCAGAAATTTCAAAAGGATTTTGTTACTGGAAAAAACTAAACCCAAGAATTCCAGAACACGAAAACAGCAATGAACACCAAAGATGCTATTCTGATTGGAAAAATCTGGAAAAAAATCTCAAGGAAGGAAAGACCTTGGATTCTGATCTGCAGAGAGTTATCAACGGAGAGATGAAAAAGTGGAGAGATATCTTGAAAGTGATTGTTGATGCAATTTTGTTCTGTGCCAAGAACAATCTTGTCCTTCGGGATTCAACAGAAGTAATTGGAGAGCAAAACAGTGGCATCTTTCTGAACTTAATTGAGCTGTAAGCCATTATTATCCTTTAGTGGCTGAACACGTTGCATCCGTTAAGGCAAAGAAAACCACAACATCCTACTTTTCTCCTCGAATTCAAAATGAGCTGATTGAATTACTTGGGCAGAAAGTCAGGAATGAAATTTTGTCAAATGTCAGAGAAGCTAAATACTACTCTGTTTTGTTTGACTGCATTCCAGATGCCTCCCACAAAGAGCAGATGACCCAAATAATCAGGTATGTCCACATCACTGAGGAAACCTGTACAATTGCAGCTGAAATCACCGATAAACTGGAGAAGGATGGCCTGAGCATTTCTGATTGTCGGGGCCAAGGTTACGACAATGGAGCCAATATGTCTGGAAAATATAATGGCGTCCAAGCTCACATCCATTCTCTAAATGAGTTTGCAAGATTTGTTCCATGTGCAGCTTACACTCCACTCTTAAACAAAATCAGGAATCCGCAACTGAAATTCAGGGAAAACTCACTGAATTAATCATTGCGTTTAGGCACAATTGATTTTCAGGCGTAATCGCCTGAATTTCAGCCAATTCTTTTTCTCTGGAAATCAGGGAAACCAAGCCTTCTGAAAATCAGGGATTTTGATGCACTGAAATTTAGGAATTCTATTACTGTATATTCAGGGAAAAACTTTCGTCATCTCGGGTTTTTTATACCGACATAATATATATTATATTGTCGGCATTTTTGTTGTGGATAAAATTGATTATGAAAAAATCTCGTCTTAATCTTGTTAAGTAAAGTTTTTGGGCACGCCTATTTTAACATGGTTATGCTGTTGCGATTCAAAATCTATATTATACTATATTATTCAGGACATTTCACATTCATAACTGTATTTGATTACAGTTACTTAAATTTATGCTGATAGAATTCATTTTGATTTCATTAATCATGTTATTTAGTTATAATTTGCCGGTAGAGATGATTACAATAATTAAGTTAAAAAAAGTTATTATCATAATTACAAACATTACAGTTTTTAGTATATACTGCAAATAAAATAAAAAAGATTTTGTTGATGCGTGCATTTGAATAACAATTAATAATTTTTCTATATCACAATGTGTGCAGATGTTGCTTATTTAAAAGAGTGTCAAATATATTTAACGTGCTTTTAAAAAAGTAACAAGATCTCGTACACAATCTGAGATAGGAACATTATCTAAGATCCCATAAAAATGCACTTGCAAAAACTGCCAAACATGGCTAACACTTTGGTCGTACTCAATTTGACCGATGTAGTGTAGCTTGAAACACTTATCAACAGCAGATACCATACAACGCGATTCAATAACTTCGTTTTCTACAACAATAAAGGATTTGCTAATGTTGCCAGTTACACCCAATGCAACAATTATTGGTTGTTTAATACTGTCACTTTTGATTTTAGAAAGAATTTCGTCCATTGAAGTTCCATACTAATAAAAGGTAATATAAATATAGTTTACGCATTTTAAACAAATTAAACACAAAATTAAGACCTCCGCTAAAAAATTGTACACAATATAATAAACGCAGCCATTGCTTACAGGATGAAGCTGGATAAATCGCTTGCAAACTTCAGCAACCGAGGCACGTTGCCGATTTCGCATAGGAACCGTTAACATAAGTGGAAGTAGTAATAGAGCGTATTCTTCTTTGGTATCTATAAAAATATTGCTAAATACATATATTACCATTAGATACACATATAAAAAGTTATTAAAACAATATAATTTTTAAAAACTTAATTAATAAGTTAATTCTAACTCATTTGGTGATAAGAAACTATTTTTATTTAAACATGAATAAATTAAACAAACCTTCAAGCAGGTTGTTGTTAGCTGCTATTTCGTCAAGTAATATTGTAAGATCGGTTGACAACCCTTTGCGTTTTCCTTTGGCATACAAAAGGATCCGTGAAAAACAGTCTCCCAGCCCATCCACTAACCGTTTGCTGTTGGGTGCACTTCTGCAGAATTCCTCTTCAAACTAAATGCCATAGTAATTGTTAATTCAATAAAATAAAGTATATTGTTATTAAATAATTTAATTAGTTTATAAGTTTACCACTAATATCAACAGTGACAACTCATAATATCATCAACTAACTACACATTGATTACTGAAAGCAAACTAAAAGCTTACCGCAGATGAGTAAATATTTCTTAATGGGGGAAATGATGAAAAAAATGTTTTTATTGGAGGTCTTCCTTCCCTCACCCAGAGACTGCGACTTTCATAAGTTGATGCCATAATAATTTTTATGCGATTCTCGTTAGGTGTCTCGTTTAAAAGTTCATGGGTGAGCACCCTTTCATCTTCTGTAAAATACTCTAATGAGAAACAATAATGAAAATAATAATAAAATAATAATACAGCATTTAAAGAAACTATCATCTTTACTATATTTTTAAACAGCATATTTGAATACAGCACTTAAATACGCCATTAAATATAAATAGAATAAAACTGTTAATATATCAGAATGAAAATTAAAAAATATATTTTAAATAATATATTTTAAAATATCTAAAACATATAATTAAATTATTACACTCTACCATTATTAATAACAAACTTTTGCAACAATAGTGTTATTTGTATAAATATATATTTTAAATATATACTTAATGCAAATATTCATTCTACAAACATACAGTTAAAGCAAAAACCTGTTATGGGTCCATTGACTAGATCAACTGCATCTGTTCTTAGGCGCTTCTGATGCGGCTTGTGTGGCTTGTCAGTAATTGGCAGTTGTTTTCTCAGCGTTTTCAAACGCTCTTCAATATAGCCTGATGGGGAATATTTTTTAACTTTTCCGTTTCGTAATACTTCAACATACTGTCTGAAGTAAGCATCCTTAAGTTAATAAGTAAGTAAAAATATAAAGATTAGTAAAACTAAACTAAAAAAATTTCAACTATTATCCCATTTCCCAAAATATGCAAATAAAAGTTTCAATTACACTTATAACAATACTTACATAACCATCACCATTACCACTTCTTAAGGTTGGAAAGCGGTTTATCACTTCTAGTGCTAAAGCCTTTTTTTTCTCTGTATTGGGATAGCTGCAACAACAACAACAACAACAAAAACTATTATGCTGTGTTTAATAACTTATCTACTTCCCCATTTTTGAAGTAAATCATTTATTTATAAATTTTAATTTAAATTTAAAATAAAATTAATTAAATTTAGTTTTATTAACTGATTTTACATACTAATACCAAAAAATGCAAGTTTCAAAATTAAAATATTAAAGGTTTCCTAACCAGTTACTATCTTTTACAAGATTTCCAACAATAATACGCACAAAAAGATCTTTCATCAAGACTAACTGCCCGGTTCGTTCATATTCGGATAAGATTGATGCACCTTTAGGGTGATCTTTCAACATAGAGTCAATGTCCTTAACAAAAATTAAAATTCACTTCTACAATATTACAAATAATAAAATATACGTAATTTTATAAATAATTTCGAAAAGTTTTTAAAAGTTTCTAACAAAATTATAAATAAAATGCATTTATGATTAAATTGAACAACAAACATAACTCACAATAGCAATTTAAAAAAAATTATAGAAAAAAAAAATCTTTATTAGCAAATGCAAGCTAATAAAGATAACTATTTACTATGCTTATTAATAAATATAACAATTTTATTAAAAAAGCCAAAAGTTTTCATTTAATATTATTTATTAAATAAATTTCACTCACAAACTTATATTGACATTGATGTGAACTAGAAGAACTGCTGACAACATTAAAACTTATTTGATCTGTTGTGATTGTTGTTGTTGGTTCAATAGACTGTCTTACATCAGCATATGTAGATGCAGAGCTTTCTAAAGGTATTTATGCTTCATTGGTATTGATAAGACAAGGAGGCTGTACATTCTGTAATTAAACAAATATGCTAAGAATAATGTAAGTTAACACCTTTGTCTTCATCCAAATATTGAGATAATAGAGAGCGATTTACATACTGATACATATTTCAATACCAATAGTTAATAAAAAAGTTATACATAATTGTTGATATATTAGAGACAAGTATCAATAAAAATCTGATTGTTGTTGTTGGTTCAATAGACTGTCTTACATCAGTATATGTAGATGCAGAGCTTTCTAAAGGTATATATGCTTCATTGGTATTGATAAGACAAGGAGGCTGTACATTCTGTAATTAAACAAATATGCTAAGAATAATGTAAGTTAACACCTTTGTCTTCATCCAAATATTGAGATAATAGAGAGCGATTTACATACTGATACATATTTCAATACCAATAGTTAATAAAAAAGTTATACATAATTGTTGATATATTAGAGACAAGTATCAATAAAAAACATAATTGCTATTGTGAGTTATGTTTGTTGTTCAAAGTTACATATACAGTGCTTGAAGTGGGGCATGATGTCATCGCCTTTTTTTAAAGTATAAACCATTTGGCCACCTTTTTTAAAATCTCTGTATATAACAATGATTAGGATGGTTAGGTGGGATGATATTTTTAATTTACTGAATACTATCCTGTTACTTTTTTTCTCCACTTTGAGCACTGTATATATATATATATATATATATATATATATATATATATATATATATATATATATATATATATATATATATATATATATATATATATATACACATATATATATACATATATATATGAATATATATACAAAAAGTATTTAACATTAACAAAATCAAATAATTAATTGTCAAATTATATTAATTGGTAATTTCAAAAAGCATAAGTATCACTAGTAAATAATACAATACAAAAGCAAAGCACACAAACACACATGGTATCAAGAAAAACAACTTATTTAAGTAAAATTGATAATCTTATAATGTACATTCTACAAATCAAAATATTTGACTTCCATATTATATCATATTTATGTGTTATCTGCACATAATGTGTGACGCAATGAAATGTGCACAAAGTGACAGTTTGGATTGTAACAAGTACCTGAAAAAACAGGATGATAATCATGCAAACTATCAAGTGTGTAACAGCTGACAGTGTTGGTGTCATCACAAGTTACAGTGTAGCTGTGAAGATGCTCATCAAACTGAATTAGCCTAAAATTAAGACATAACAAATGAGCTTTTTTGTCCATTATCACAATCTTGTCTATACAAATAAAAGTTGGCTCTCCATGTTCATTAATGTCTGCTATTAGTGACATTCCAGGTTTGTAAACAGTACCATAGGCTTCAATAAAATTTGCAATATATACAACAACATGTTTATCTGCGAAATGTGATGATATTGTTTCTCCATTTGGCACAAGATATAAAAGTGTTTCTGTAAATGTGCCCACAACAAGACTTTGTTTAAAACCAGTTTTTTTCCACCACTCACTACATTGTGCAAGTTGATGACGAAATGCAAGAGTGTACGCAATGTTACGAAAATTGCACACAATGTGGGCTATTCTCTTGAAAAAATTGTGTTTGGCTTCAAAACGCATACACCACATCCTGGCTAGTGGCCCATTTTTTAGGATTAGACTTGGATAATGTGTAAGCCTGTGGTGTTTGTACATTAAATTCTTATTTGGAAAAAGATTTTTGAACAGTGAGTTATGGTCAGCAATCAAAGCAGCTAAGTATGTCATGTCAGATTTGTGGACTGCAGGTGAAAATACAATGTTTGAAATTTTTAACAGTAGCAGCAAAAGTTTCCAGTGTTCAGAGTCACTTGGTACTTTATCACCAATCAACAAAGACAGGACAATTAATAAAGTCATTGTTTGACTAGATCTCTGTCCGAGAAGAGAACTGTTATCTTTTAAACAATTTTCAGTTATCAGACTGGGTTTTTTGTCTTGTAATGTTAATCCATAAGGAAAATGTCTAAGACGATTATTTAACAAATTTAAATCAAAAAGATTTTGAATGTAAATAAAATTATAAAGAACTAACTTGATTTCTAAAGGAGCTATACCTTCCAAAATATCATGCATGATGTCTTCAGTATCATTTTTAGCCGGATGATAGTACTTAAGTTCTTTCAAAATACTTACAACTTTAATTCCAAACTCAGCTTTATAAACTTGCTGTGCTGCTAATTTATTAACAATTGCCTCATATTGTGCTACAGTTCGTTGAAGCTTTGGAATTTCTGTAAAACTGTTTTGCATTGTTTTTTTGTCAGCTGTGCATAGATCACAACAAAAGTCACTATTAAAAGACTCTACAAAGCCTAAACAAGTATGAATTCCAAGGTTGTCCCCTGTAATTTGACCAAGAATGCATCGCACACGTCTTGAAGTTGCTTCACCCTGAACTTCAATTTGAAATCCATCCTCCATACACTTTAAATCATCAACAATTGCTCTTAAAACTGCATTAATGCCATACTTTTTTATGTCATTGACATATGTCAATGCAACTAAATGTACATTTGCTAAATTAGAATTGAAAATAGCTGGAAAATTTTTCAAAATAAAGTAGAATGCTCCAAGCTTGTGTATGGACGCTTTTGTTCCTATAGGATTTACTGTTTCCACATCATCATAATAAAGTTGAATAACAAGTTCGTGTGTAATAAAATCAACTGAAGGCAAGGGATGGCGATTTCGGTGTGCTTGGTAATTACTTCCATCTTGGTAGTCACACAAGATTCCACCTTCAGCTACAGTTTCGTTAAAAGTGCAGGCTGACCAACAATCTGAATGTCTAAAAATATACTTAAGGGTTTTGCTGATGGGTACAAACATAAAAGTGTCTTCTACTTGAACTTGCTTGCCCATCTTTGTTTCCCACCGATGTCCCAATACAATTTCAGTAGGGATATTTAATGCACCAACCTTTTCTAGATATGTACTTAGCTTTTTCACAGTGTCAATATTCTGGAATGGATGTTTAAGAGCAGTAAGAAAAATTTCTGCAGTGTTTTTATTCTCTAAACTTTTCATAGTGAATACTTCACTGACTTTCTGTTGCACAGCACAAGCAAAAACAGAAAACATCTCATCCAAACCATTACGGATGTCATTTATATTGCTTAATGGAATAACGGCAGACATTAAATTAAGAAGAAACCTGGCAGCTGGTAAGAATATTCCTCTATGGTCAAAACATTCAGCTATATCAAGAATTGGTTGTGCATCAGGAGCATCATTAAAATTATTAAAATCTTCTGGCATAAAGCTGTCTTGGGTATTAATATTGCTTTGTGGTAAATCAAATAATTGATTAGTAACAAAAGGCAATTTCTGAGCTTGCTTTTTAATATGAGAACGCACATGTTTTTGAAAACTATGAAAAGATGTAAATAATCTTTTGCATCTTTTTTGGCCACATATTAGTTCACATGGCTCCTCAAGTGCATGTATACCTTTCAAATGGCAAAGTAAAAAATTTATTGTAGGGAAATTGCGAGTACATTTAAAGCATGTTAATTGCATTTTTATTGATTAATTTTATTAGTGAACCTGTAAACAGAAAAAATAGTTTTAGTTGAAAAATTACCTTAGAATATATAGCTAAAAATACACTCTTAATCTTTAAAAAATCTCCAAGCTTTGGAAACATTAACTTTAAATCTTCAATGGTAACCAGCACCATCGCATCAGCATCAATACCATTTTCTTAAAAAATATTAATTAAAAAAAATGGATTTAATTTTTTTTCTTATATAGACAAAATAGATAATTTAACATTTAATTCAAATATTATATTTTAAATATATAGAAACATACATTTAATATTTTTTTGAATTTATTTCAACTTTAGTGCTGTTAAATTTGCATTTAGTACTGAAGGTATTACAGAACTACAAGTAAATTGAAAATTAAGTTTATTTAAATTATTACTTCCAAATTTTATTTAAAAAAATAAATTACTAATCAAGTCTAATGTACAGAAAATTAACATACCTTCAAGAACCTGCATACTATTCTCTAACTTCTTGAGAGACAATTCTTCAAGAAACGCATGAAACAACTCAGAGGGTAATTGAGCCATACTCAATTGTCAAGTAAATCAAAAAAACTAATTTATATTAAGAAACCAGTTAATTAAACTTTATTTATCCATGGCCTACTTAAATTACACGGCCTGATTTGTTGCATTTTCCATAAAAAATAAAGAAGCCAGTTTTTTTACGCCATAAGTATAAAAACTTCATTTTTTTATGGTTAAAAGTCTTGTTTGCACTCTAATTGTTTTATTATAATTTTATTAAAATGGTTTAATGATAGTTAGATCTTCTTTGAGTACTTAAATTATTTTGTGCTGCGTTTTCTGTTAACTGATTGCCTGCTTCAATTTATTCCAACAACACAGAATACTGAAATAGGCTTTCAGATAACTATATCAACACATACCAACATGCTACTAAAAATAATCTTTCATGTTGCTAAGATTGCCTAAAACTCTCCATTGAACAAAAAAAAAGGTTTGTAGTTTTGTATTTTTTTATAATTGAAATTGAAAGAATGAAAACATTTTTGCTAGAAATGTTTATTTTGTCTTTGTCTCTTTTGGAATTCTTTTACTTGATCTTTTCTCAATTGATATGAAATTTTTTTACAAATTATTATAAAAAATATTAATAGCAATACAAGATCTACATTTGATTCCCCACTTTTAGTAGCTTTTATTTGTAAAATTGACACTGCTACATCAAATCTTTAAAATTTGTTTTGCATATTTTTAATTGAAAAAGCATGACTGCAATGTTTTATTAGAATAAGAGAAATTACATAAAATACTAAAAAGATAACAAATAAAATTAGACAGAGGTTGAATTGAATATATAGGTTCTTCTCTTTATAAAATAATGTTTATTGATCATAAGTTTAACAGCAAAATCTTTTTGTTAATTTTTACCAATATAACTTGCTTTAGTATATATATATATATATATATATATATATATATATATATATATATATATATATATATATATATATATATATATATATATATATATATATATATATATATATATATATATATATATATATATATATATATATATATATATATATATATATATATATATATATATATATATATATATATATATATTATATATATATATATATATATATATATATATATATATGAATTAAGTATGATAAATAACTTATAAAACAATGAATGAACTAAGTATGATAAATAACTTATAAAACAATGATAGAAATTGTACTGCGTTATTTCTTTCAGAAAAATAACTAAATTACAGTTTCGTCAAATATTGTTGATGTTGACAACTTGTTTGTTGTTTCCAAAACATGTGACTTGATAACTAATTTTTCTTGTTTTTTCTTGCCTGTTTAATAATTGATCTTTTAATAAACTTTAAGAAATATATTCCCTGCTTAAGTTACTTCAACATACTCTATGGAAAAATCAAATGAAAAAGAAGAAAAAAACAAAAACATAGTTTATCAAATAACAAGTATGTTTTAAACACTCCTTTTCTAAACTAAATGATAAATTAATAATTTTCCATCTCCAGTATATGCTTTATGAAACTATAAAAATGCATTAACATTTGTAGAATGGTTATCGTTAACAACAGATCTTGATTTAAATTCAGATTTGTGCATTGAGGTAATACACTCATCAATTTCTTTTTTCAAACATAAACCTGTTATGTAAACTTTAGGTGAGGATTTCAAAACATAAGAATAAATTACAATCATTTAAACAAAATCATACAAACAATCATAAAAACAAAAACAAATTCTTTATAAAAATTATTTTCTCAATCTTCATCAAATTGTTAAGCACTTTGGGCTGCTCTTTGGAAGTACATCTTACCCACAAGTAGCAAATAATCACTTAATACCAAATTTTTGTCAATAATTTTTTTAATATATTATAGTTTTTCAATTTGTAATTTTCACCACTGCGAAACCATTTAAATAAGTTTAAATAAGCATTTATTAGGTAATGAGAAAAAAAAAGAATTTTATTAACAGCTATTGACTTCAAAACAGTTGGTATGCCTGATATTTCTTGACCACTGTAAATAAATGACCCCATTTGTTGCATTTTAATTGCTGTATGTTTGAGACATGATGCATAATAGAGTATTTACATAATAGAGTAAATATTTTGAAGAAAAATTTATGTTTTCTACTTAATAATTGCAATTATAATAAATAAAAAAACTACAAACCTTTAAAATTATTTCCAATGGAGAGTTTTAGGTAGTTTTAGCAATATTTAAGATTATTTTTAGTAGCATGTTGTAATTTTGATATAGCTATCTGAAAGCCTATTTCAGTATTCTTTGTTATTGGAATAAACTGAAGCAGGCAATCAGTTAACAAAAATTCTAGCAGAAAATAATGTAAGTACTCAAAGAAAATCTAACTATTATTAAACCATTTTAATAAAATAAAAATAAAACAATTATAGTACAAACAAGACTCTTAACCATAACAAAAATGAAGTTTATATACTAGAGCCGTAAAAAAACTGCTCTCTTCAGGCCGTGTATAATATAAAATATAACTTATAAGTTATATAATTATAAGTTAAACTTATATAATAGAAGGTATAACTTCTATTGACTTAAGTATAACTTTTATTGACTTAAGTATAACTTCTATTGACTTAAGTATAACTTCTATTGACTTAAGTATAACTTCTATTGACTTAAGTATAACTTCTATTGACTTAAGTATAACTTCTATTGACTTAAGTATAACTTCTATTGACTTAAGTATAACTTCTATTGACTTAAGATTGATTTAAGTAGGCCATGATATATTATAAATAATAACTCATAAATTTTATGAAATTTATAATAACTTCATATATTGTATATGAAGTTATTATAATTGCTTCATATACAATATATGAAGTATTTGAATACAATAATTATATTATAATAACTTAATTTCCGTAATAAGTATAACATTTTAAAAGCTTTTATTTTGCAACTCTTACAACAAAGCACTCAATTTTTATAGAAATTTCCACGCTGTACATGAACTTACCACGCTAGAAATTTCCCTTTTAAATATTTCGATATGGACTCAACACGTTTTTCTAGATTTGAGCGCCTGAATAAATCAGAGAACGAAATCGCCTGAATTAATTAACTGAAAATCAGGAAATTGGCCTGATTTTAAGGGCGAAAAAATTACATGAATAATTCATGTAATAATTTCCCTGAATTCATCTTAGAGTGTTTAAACCTTGTTGGTGTCCATGCTGCTGAAGTTTCTCCACTCATGATTACATTCTTTGGAAAAGTTCAAGCCATCTTTAACTTTTTCTCAAGTTCTACCTTAAGATGGGAAAAACTGATGAAAACATTGACCATCTCACTAAAGGGAAATAGTGATAAAAGAATTCATGTAATAATTTCCCTGAATTCATCTTAGAGTGTTTAAACCTTGTTGGTGTCCATGCTGCTGAAGTTTCTCCACTCATGATTACATTCTTTGGAAAAGTTCAAGCCATCTTTAACTTTTTCTCAAGTTCTACCTTAAGATGGGAAAAACTGATGAAAACATTGACCATCTCACTAAAGGGAAATAGTGATAAAAGATGGTCTGCCAAAAAAGAAGCAATCACCCCACTACACAGACAAATCAAAGAAGTTCTTCAAGTTTTGGAATCCATAATTCACACTCCCAAGACAAATGCTGTCTCAGTTTGCAGTGCAAAAGAGCTCATCATTCAAATTGATTTCAGTTTTCTGTGTTTGTTGGATTTTTGGTGTCAAATTCTTTCTTTAACTGACCGGGAAAACAAACTGCTTCAGTATAAAAACATTTCAATTGACATTGCAGCAAAAAAAATGAAAGGACTGAAGGCTTCCATTCAGAATCTGAGAGATGTTGGGGTGGACAACATTATCAAAGCTGCTGCAGAAACAGCTATCCAAATTGGAATTGAAGGAGACTTTCCTATGAAGAGAAAGCGCAAAGTGAAGCAGATGGCACTTTATGAAGCTGAAGATGACTTTTGTCGTTTGTCACCAGAAACAGATTTCGGATCCCAGTGCAACCTTGTGTTTGACAGCATTCTCACACAAATTGAGTGGCGGTTTGAAGCTATGTCTGCAGTATCCTCAGATTTTGACTTCCTCAGTGGACATTCTCTCTCCAAAAGTTCAGTGGATGAACTTAAGACTAAAGCCAAAAATTTGTCTAAAATTTACAAGGCAGATTTAGATTCTTCAGATTTCCAGTCAGAAATGGCAAGCTTTAAATATCAAGCTGCTGCCATGATGAAAAACTTTGAAAAATCTAGCCCGATGGACATTTTGCAGCTCATTCATAAATACTCATTGACTGATGCTTATCCTAACTAGGGATGTACCGAAGCTTCGGCTTCGGCTTCGGCGTGCCGAAGCTTCGGCAATTTTGCCGAAGCTTCGGTTTGGCCGAAGCCAGGTCAATTTTTTGCCGAATCTTTGGCTTCGGCAAAAAATTTTAATTAATTAAAGTTATAAGCTACTGTGGGACAAGTTATAAAAATAAGCTAATTGCCAGTGTCTAATAAAGTTATAAATTTAGGACTACAGAGTTAAAGTTGGAGTCTATACGATATACTTAGTATTATTTACTCCCAAGTGTCTTGT